GCACAATAAGCCTGGATTTTGGTTATGAAAAAGGTTAAACAAGACCTGTTGAATAAGTCATTGTGTTGTGTGCTGATCCATCAAAAATTAGCAATTTCATCATTAATAACATTGAGTAAAATCTTTCATTTAGATGGGAAAAATCTGTTTTACAGGTACAAAGAAACCAAAGTCATGTAACTGTATTATTTAAGTTATAATCTGTTCTTTTTTAAAAGTGACTTTAAATGCTAAATACCAATAACAGCTTTCTTGCGCTCTGTCTCTGCCTCTTTCTCAACCACTTTTTGTTTTTGTTGAGCAATTAACAGCTTGGTCTTCTCTCCTTCCCTGCAAGTAAAACGGAAATGTACAGGGTTAGATGCGGCTGAGTCATTGTGTCGTGTTTCTGGGGAAGGCACTCTACTCTAACAGGACCTCTATCCAACGCAGGGCATAAAATGGGTACTACAGGCAAACTTTCAGAGAAAGCTAATGAGATGCCTAGGAGTAAGATGCTGTGAACTAGCTTCCCATCCTGGGGAGAAGAGAATTACAGCAGAAACCTTGGACTATCCAAGCTCTGGCTAAACAGGCCACATGTAGAAAAAAAAAAAAAAAAATGAACGGGTAACTTGACTCAAGTGCAAACTCTACCTTTCCTTTTGTGGAATTCTCCTTTGCTGTAAATAGGCCTTTCGATGACTTTGGTTTTGGTTTTACAACACTTAATCAAAGCCCTTTACATAGATGCTATGTAATGCCCATTGCTTAAACATGGTCATCTTCATGTGAAAACAATTTACATAGTTTACATACTCCTGGGACAAATATGCACCGTCATTACTGATCATATGAATAAATGAGATTTAAGACATCTACTGTGAATTATGAGAAAAAATTCACAAGAAAAATCATTCTAAAGAGAAATCACTAACTTTTGCTGACTTACATTGCTTCATAGTTACGCCTTATGCTCTCAGGTATCTTAGGCTTGGTAACTCTCACAGCCTAAAACAAAGACAAACATTAAGCTTATCCAAAGTGATTTTAATTGGTTTTTAAGTTACAGTGAACATATGTCATAAAACAAATACTCCAATTTGATGCAAAGCAGGGTGTATAATGTATTGGTGCAATGGATCAGAGTACTTCAGTTTTCCATGAGGAGTTACCCTAACATTCAGTGATAAAAAATGATGACTATACTATAGGTATGATCATAATTATTTCATTATTGTCAGTGTCACTACTATCTTTAAACAAAATTCTCTAATTCTGACCTGAACTCTTAAACCAGGTGCCATGGCCAGCAAATCTAACTGTAGGGCAGTACGCAGATTCTCATCAATTTGATCTGGTGACAAATACATAAGAAGTAAATAATGCAAAGAAAAAACATTAACATGCAAACAAAAACACTGTTTGGAATAACCAAGACTGATATTAAAAATTAACTACTGATAAATTGTTTAATGAATAACTCTGTCAGTTAATCTTGTGAACTCACCAAAGAGATCTATGTAAACTTCTTGGAGGGTGTGTGCACTGCAAAACTGAAAGCATTGAAGTAAAAGTCAGAAGTTTCTCTTTAAATTTGAATATATGAAGTTGGTAAAAGGTAAATGCTGCTATACATAACCATCATTCTACCCTATTAAGCAAAGGCTTATAACTGGGTTGCTGAGATGGCCATCTCCATCAGGTACATGTAGCTGGCTGCAAAAATGTTGGAGCTTCTAGAAAAGAAGTACCATGCCTCTCAGTAGCCAGCCATACACTGACATACAGATTAAATAAACAGCTTCAAGCTCATATACTTCATATTAAGTTATTTGCTCTATTTAAAACATGATTAACCTACAATTAAATGAAACATATGAATAAGAATCACCTGGTTCAACTCATGATGTATCTTGTTAAATATCAGTGCTTTATCATAATCTGCTGTGTAGTTTCTGACAATATCAAATACTGAAAAAAGAAAACATGAAAATGTGACATAGTCAAAAATGTATTTCCAAGCCATTTCTATTTTACATGAACTTTGAATTACCAATTGATAATGATCAATACAAGTTTGTGTAAACTAACTTCTGACAGGGGGATTACATGACAACAATTTCTTAGCCTGGGGTGACAAATTGTTTTTGAATAATACATTGGGCTGTTATTAAGCAATTGCAAATTATTTTTCCTGTTCAAGAAAATAATTGTCACACTATGGCCATTTTGAGATTCTGCTTACAATTTTCCCCCAACAGGGGATCATTTTAGAGAAGGAAATGAGATAGTCCTTGATCAAACATGGCAAGCACATTGCTATAATGTAAGTTCAAAAAATTAATTTTTCACCTGATGAAGATTCAAGAATATTAACAACTTCTATACGATCAAAATAGATGACAACTCCTCCACTGCAACAAAAGTTCAAAGAGTCTCAAAAACTCATTTATATTACAGGCTGAAAAAAAAAACAACATAGAAACTGAAAGATAAATAATGTCCTTTTCAAACTGCTAGAAAAATTGTTTAATCAAAAACACTGAAACTCATTCCTGCCATTGATGGCATTAATAGGTGGACAGGTGCCTTTCTCACCAACCTTTCTCTATTCTTGACTTTCTAAAAAAAACTTTCAATTTTCAGTGGTTCAACATAAATCCCTGAATTTACCCTGAACTTGAATAGTTTTCTTTCGCCTTATGTTGACTATGTACCTTCTGTACAAACCAAACACAACACTAACAGTTCAAACATCAAGTCATTTGGTTTGATCAAAAGAGTTTCTAAGCTGATATTTTGAGAGCTAGTCCTCTCTTATTTACTATGAACAAGGGCTAACACTTGAAATGTCAGCTTAAAAACTCCTCATAGTGGCCAGTTTACTTTGTCAAATCAGTGGATAAGACCTTATTATACTCCCCCACAAACCCAGCACCACAGTTTCTTTAGAAACGTACCTCCTTTAAACATTAAGTCATGTTTGCAAATCATTTAACAATTCTACCAACCTTGTTCCACATGGGACATTTTTTACTTCATCAGTCTGCAGTGTAGTCTGCACTGAGCGGAACATTGTTAAGAATGGAATCATAATGTGATATCCTGGTCCACTGGTTGATGATAGCAATGCACCACCCTATGAGACAAATAGTAACAGAGGAGTCATGAGATGGCAATAAATTTAGTTATATCCAAATGATACTCTCTACCTTAATTAGCAGAAGCCATATTAACACTAGCACTAAGTGGACTAAAGGTTCTTATTTTTGTCCATTTAGTTTTAACATATGATATTTCACATATCATTAGGATGCATGTACACTGGTTGTGTTATGGAGAGCCAATACAGGCATTAAGTATTGAAAAACTTAATAAAATATATAAAGGTCTTTTTTTCTTGCCTGAAGTGTTGCTTGAGTTGTTCTTGTCTTAAATTAGCAATTTTAAGCCATTTGAGAAATTTCTCCATTCATAACTAGGAAAGATGATAAGCTTGTCATATCCCTTAATGGAGAAATTTCTCAAATAGCTTGAAATTGCTGACTAAGCATGAGAACAGCATAATCAACACTTCAAGCAAGTAAAAACACTTTAAATTATTTTTATGAAGTTTTTTATACTAAGTGCTTGTATGGGTTTCCAATGAGCATTTGAGGAATTATTGAACTCACTCGATAATAAACTCCAACATGACCTACAATAAGGTAAAAGCAAATAATTAGTGAGGTTTTACAGAATATCACTAGTCACAATGATGCGATGCCTGCCTTTAAAAATATCACCAAAACACAGTATTCTTTCAGAATTTTCCATACTTATCAATATGGAATCATCTAATGAAGACATAAATGTTTTGGGGGGAAGGGGACACTGGGGTTATCAATTAGGCACTGAGAAACACTCTTGGGAATTTCCATGTTTTTTCGCATCTCTGTGTGATCCTTCAACCTCCTCTAAATATCAAAAGGCTCTAAAAACACAATGTATGGTACACACTATATTCTCTACCACCAATTTGCCAGATTTTATGCAGATTAAATGCATGAATATTAATTTTTTTTTGTTGGCACATTTGATATTCATGAATTTACCTAGATTGTTTATTACACTCTCATTACTGGTTAAAGCCCTTAGCTACCAGGTATTACATAGGGAAGTTCTTCTTACAATAACAATACAATGTCACGAAGAGAGATAATGAGATTAATGATAAAATATCTGCTGCAAAACATCAGTTGATTTCACACCAAACTCTCAGAGTTGAGATTATGAGGAATGTATGAAGGACAACACAGTAAACTGGTATGAAAATATAATAAAAGAGCAAGGGTTAACACCACCATTGTCTCATTCTTTAAAATTGCATGCTACGTGCTTAGCTCTGCTTTCTTTGTTTCATTTCTACTTATTAATTCATAGACGCTGGCAAACCACCTGCATTGTTAGCTTAAGCTTGTGAATAATAATTAATTTCCCTCTGGAATTACAGCAAATTTTAAAATTGTACTCTGTTAGCTTATAGAATTCGCACTCAGTCAGCTAAGAGAAGACGGGAGGGTAAAGCTAATCTTCAATGCATTTTTCGTTAAGCATTAGAATAAAACTCTCAGCTGTAGAGGAAACGAGTCGGAATGATAAGATACTTCAGCGTCTCTCCTGCAGCTCTTGCGATACGGTATCATTATTAGCTAAGAAAGTACATCATTGATATGCACCACTTCAACCAAAAAAAAGGGGAAATTAATCTCTTAGAGGTGCATAATTTCCTCACAATAGCAATTCTTTCGGGCCTTCAAAGAAAACGTGCTGATTTCAAATGAGGCTTCTTGAAAAAGCAAAACGAAACTGGACAAAATCATGTGAAATGCATTTTTCAATGCAACCAAAATCTCTGGTTTTCATGTTTCGAACTCTTCTCTCACCTTCATCTATTTTATGGACGGAGAAATTGAACAACATTGCAGCCAGTACTATGATTATTCCAGTGACAACTGCGGCGGCCATTGTGAAAGAAGAAGGAAAGAATTCCCGTGATGCTATGCAGAGTGAAGGTGTCTAACGCGGTACTAGTCCTCTCGCGACATTTCAAGCCTCAGGCTGATTAGCCTGAAATTCAAATAATATTCATGCCTGCTTATTGTCTTTATCAATTTTCATAGTTTAAGCTCTGGAGGATATTTTTTATCGATTGAATAGGAAAAACCCGCAGGATTGTAGAAAAGCGAAGCGTCGAGGTCGAAGAGGTTGCGTGGTCACGTGATACTGGTTGGTACAATCGATCAATCATTGAAGAGAATAACAAAGTTGAGAGGTCTTCAAACATGGCGGGCAGTACATCTCCGGTTTCGAAGCAGGCATTTCACGAGACCTACGAGCTAAAGGAAGAACTGGGAAAGTAAGTAGCTCTGCAGATCAGCTTTCACTGGAAGTGGCTGTAGAATTTATTCTTATTTTACGGTTGTCCTTCGCAGAGGTGCATTCAGTATTGTTCGTCGATGTGTACATAAGGAGACGAGACTTGAGTATGCCGCCAAAATTATCAACACCAGAAAATTATCATCCAGAGGTAAGAAAACCGGATTTGGTTTTTTTTCACATTTACTTTAGAATTGAAGCTTTTATTATGAACTTGTTATCGAAAGGCGAGGTACTAAAGTTAAAAATTGTTTTTAATTTTTTGAATGAACTTGCAGCAAATTTTATTTGGAATCTTTTCGGGATTCTCTACTTAGAAGAGCGAAGAAATAAATTTGTCAGGAAACGACTTATTTTCTATGGTTTTTTTTGTATTGCTGTGGCAAGGTTACTCTTTTGCATCTACTGAATTCGAACGTGTCTCTTATTTTCAAGGATGTAAAGAATATTTCAAATGAGGAATGATTCAAAGGGAAATTGTTTATGTTATTTAGAGGTCGCCTACAAGGTGTATTTTTGGGAATATACTTTGTATTAGTTTTCGAAAAGCACGGACAAATGGCTACCATAAATGATACATCGAAATCTAAACCAGATGTTGCTGTCGATCGAAAGTTTGATCAGAGTGAATTAAATATTTTAATGCCAGAAAGAGCCAAACATCACTTCACAGTGGGAGAGTCCGCGTAGATTTCACCTGTGCGCGCTCTACACTCTGATATTTACTCAGATAACTTCTCTAATATATTTTACTCCTCATTCATTAGATCTTCAGAAGCTCGAACGAGAAGCCAGGATATGCCGCCTACTAAAGCATCCTAACATTGGTGGGTATGGAATAGGTTTAAATTACGGTAAATATCACGCGAAGGAAATTGGAAGGTTCACAAATTGAGATCCTTGTAACTTTGAAAATGTTCTTTGTAATGCATAATTTTCTTAATATATATGTTAGCCAGAGAGTTATATTGTTTCTGGACGGGTGACTTTCTAGAAGTCTTCCGTAATTTTATTCGCGGGTCCATTTTACGCCTTTAGACGAACAGCGGCTTAAATGTCTTCAAACGGCGATCAGCTCAACAACTGTGTAAACACAGAAAAATACATTTAATACATGTCATCAGCGGTGCGCACGGCAGCAAGTCACTCTATTTAAGAGGTGATATGTTGAAATTCCCTCGCTAAGAGACAGAAACAACTCATAATTGTCAACATGAAGTTTTTGCATGTGAAGATGCAAAGCCTCTCCCTTTATATAATGTCGGAGGCGTGTGAATTTGAATGTTATTGATTCGTTTGTGTTGTTCATGTCAAACTGTGATGACTTCCCACTCATCATCATCAAACCCCGCAGCCCTGCACGGTAGCGATCTGTCGTTGGTTTACGACTCCGTAGTTGTTAATTTGAGCTATGACACAAATTTACATCGGCAAGAACTGTCTGGATTTCTGCTTCAGATAAGATTCCTCTTTTCGGTTTGCGGAGGTGGTGGAGTTGATTGCTTTTTAATTTAGTGAGACAAAAACTTTTACCCAGCTGCAGGTTATCCGAATTTACGAGAAAAACTTCTTTCCTGTTTTTGAAGATAAAAAGAAGTATTTTTTCTGTAGCTAAGGTGGAACCTAATTGTTTCCTTTTGTCGTCTTGTAATTATAAATGTTCTAAATACTATGCTTCCATATTTTCCTAAGACAATTGACGCTCATGAATCGATTTCGCGGGAAGAGTAACTCGATATGTTATGTGAAACAAATTTCGAACATTACATCGTTTTGCACTCATTTTTTATATTGCGTTTTGTGGGAGAGAATTCCGAAAACTTATGATGAGTAAAATTTCGAGAAAATACATGTTTTCTTTGAGCTGACTTTTGTCTCAGCAGCCAATAAATCAAAAGCGTCGTGCTGCGCATACATTTTATAGATTTATTTATTGAATTTACATAAATGAATGCTGTTCTCTGCGAATCCGATGCATTTTTAATTCCTTCTTTGCAAATAATTGATAGGCAGTACGTCGCATAGGAAGCATATTGAACAAGAGATGTGTGCATGTGAGTCACTGATAGAGAGAGAGCAAGACTGAATCTGTCAACCATTGAGAACCAAAATTAGGCGGGTAGAGGAAGACGTCAAAACTTGAGACAAATTGAGTGTAATTAATGAAGTTGGATCAGTCCATCAATTTCCTAATAATTTTTCATTTGCTTGGGACAATATGGCAAATGGAAGTTCTCTCTGAGGTCTGTTTAGGATGAGTTTTAAGCTATCTTATTGCCATGTTGGCAGAATGTTTGAGCTGATCAGAAAGGTTTATAGGAAAACATATACTCATGTTAATCATCAAGAATTGTAGATTAAATAAAATGTTTCAAGATTAAAGGTAACACATGGGTATAGGATCAAAGTAATTAGCACTTATTATGCAATTTGCTCCATTTTCTTTTTCTCCTTGAGCACTATTTTATTTAGTGCAAATTAGTTGACCTTCATTTCCATTAATTTGCCAAATCTTTTTTTTTTTTTTTTTTTAATCATATGATTAATTTTTTTTCTTGAGAGGATTGTCCTACTTGATATTTGGGTTCCCTGAGAACAAGATATATCTTAGAGAAATTAATTTCATTTTTCTTAAGAGTCAGTTTCTACTAGTTGAAAATTCTTTCATTCAGTATATGTACATTTGTATTTGTAGCATGATAATTACAATTATTGTGACCCAGATGTCAAAGGAAATGTCAAAATTTGTCTTCAGCTCAAAGGGAGCAATGTGTCATGAAAAGGTCAATATCCATATGGGATGTGACTTTATGCTGTTTATTATTCATCAAAGGGACATGGATGTATGCTGTTTTAAAGATGTTCTTTAATTTATTTGTTTTGTATGTCTACTGAAGGTGCTTTTTAGAATGATTTTCTTTTTCATGCTTGTTGTAAAGTGCAAACAGACATTTGCTCAGCATTAGTAAATAAATAAATTTAGTGATTGTGATTATCTGAAAGCAAGTATGTCAGAAATGTTCTGATTGGGGTGATCTTATCTTTACAAGGTACATGTACATCCTCATGAATTTAGAATTGTTCTTCAACCATCACATGTACTTAACTCTTTACTTAGCCCTCGAAAAGCTGTTTTCATAAGAATATAAGCAAAGTAACCTGAAATAATTTGATAAGTTTACATTGAAAGCCAATTAAAGGATTTATATTTTTAGAATACAGAACAAAAAGATAATTCAAGCCTATTTGCTGTTCCTGGTAAATGGAAAATAATTTTTGCCTATAGGGGATATACAGCACAACTTTTTTCCAACTCTTTTAAATGGTCAAATTGATCCGTATTATCTTGGACACTTTATCGTGTGGGATGGGCAGCAGAATGTTTTTTATTGGTTATGACTTGTTCGGAAATGTAATGAAAAGTCCAGAGAGTATGCTATTTTAATGAAAGCTATCAGAATTTATGTTTCCAGCCCTCTCTCACAAACAAAATATTGATTTAGGCATAAATTACATTAAATTAAGGTGGTTCTGAAAAGCTAGGGTTATTTGATTCTTACAGTGGAACTCTACAGAGAGATGCATCTTCATAATTATTCTTTTTATGATTTGATATTCACATGTAAAAATCAGGGGCTATGGAACTTGTTTTTTGAGTTAAGGCTCACCAAGTTGATATTTTAGAAGGAGGCATTATTGCCATGGTTGTTTCATAGGATGATGAAAAGACCTTGACTTGATTAAGTGATGTTTGAGAATTTGTTTGAGTTTGATTGAAGATCCTATATAATTTTATGTCTTAATTAAGCACTCACTTTGCCATGTCTTGTAAACTCAGTTTACGATCTGGCAGTGTAAGCCTCAGTTTAATTTGATTTTGTCTCATATCCTTACAGTTAGACTTCATGCTAGCATTGCAGAAGAAGGATACCACTATCTAGTGTTTGACCTGTAAGTCTTGACACCTACAATGCAATATCTGTTTTGTGTTGTTGAATAATGGTGCCTCTTTAATAGAGGATAGACTCCTAGAATGGTCAGGAGCTTTACAAGTGTTTTCCAGGGATTTTTAGTGTCCAGCCATTAAAAAATGGTGTGAGTTTAATTCAGATCCAGGCAGGTAATTTACTGCTTTGTCTGATATAAGTATGGGTGCTTTCAAAGAGAACCCAGTGTAAACACCTGTTGCTGGTGCCTCTGGAGAACACTACTATTAATGATAATTGAGACTAGTAGAAGCTTGTACATTGTGTGCATTATACACCATCCAGATAACCAAGGTGTTTAGCAATTGGAAAAAAAAAGGGAAGAAAGTTTATGGGAAGGGGAGTAAGGGGATGAGACAGCAAGTTGGTGACAAATCTACTTATAGTACTCTTTGCCATAGTATGGCTTATGTGATAACTGAGTTTAAAGGTACCTGAATCTTAGAGATGCTTACCACTGTTCATATTTCTATACTGTGTTGTCAACTTAGTCTGAATTGCATTTCATGGTGCTTGATGTTGTTAATCATGATGCATTCTAACATATTTTTATTTGTACTGCAGAGTAACAGGAGGAGAATTGTTTGAAGACATTGTTGCAAGGGAATACTATAGTGAAGCTGATGCAAGGTAGAAATATTTTCTATTTTAATTGATAGGTGGCATAAGTGAATTATTTTAAGAGTTGCAAAAGGTTTCCTAATGTTCCTTACCATTAAAAGTGACCAATATTGACAAACATAATGGAAAAATTTTTCTAAAATTAATACTTTACATAAAGATCAAAAAAGGTAAAGTTATAACTGAAAATACCCAAGGGGTGAAAGTTTTCATCAGATCAAGAAATAATCTCGAGGAGAAAAGAGGATATTTAGTGGAACAATGCACTGTATATTAAAATTAAACTTGACGTTCCCTTTATTTTCTCTCTTTAAGTCACTGCATACAGCAGATACTTGAAAGTGTTCATCACTGCCATCACAATAATGTAGTTCATCGCGATTTGAAGGTATAAGTTCTATCTCTTCTTTATCAACTGTAATGATTATTTACAAAGGTTGTTTGTTTTATTAAATCACAATTATTGATTCATGAGCTGCATATATGAAAATTAGATTTGATTTTATTCATTTTGTTGTACTCGTGTGTAGCCTGAGAATTTACTTCTTGCAAGTAAAGAAAAAGGTGCAGCTGTCAAGCTAGCTGACTTTGGGTTAGCGATTGAGGTGGATGGTGACAAACATGGCTGGTATGGTAAGTGTTGGTTGTGAATGTGTGATTTGGAACACAATGGAAGCCACAGACTCTGTGAGGTGAGATTTCTAAACCTCATCAGTACCTTACTTCAAGCTACTTGTAATTATCTTTTGATGTTATTTACATCAGGTTTCTTAATGAGCTGGCTTTTAAAGTTTCAAAGTATAGGGCTGTTAAATGTTTGATTGGACTATCAGACTGTAATCACCAAACTAGAAGGAAGAGAGGAATTGGTGGATGCATTAATTTTGAGTGACATACTTCATAATCACTGCAAAGTACAGTCACTTCAGGCTTTTTTCCACACACCTATTCAACCCAACAGTCACTAAATCACTCAACTTTGGCTTACTAAAATTTAACTTTAATCCTGAGTGTTACTTACTGATGCCTGTTCTGCAGAAATATCTGATGACAATGCCAGGGGCTACCAGTAATTTTCACGTTCATAAGTCGTTCTGGGAATGCAACTCTTTAAAACACTGTACAGGTGCTCTTAGACTGGTTTTAATTTTGCAATTGTTTGTCCTTTGTAGGTTTTGCAGGAACACCAGGTTATCTCTCTCCAGAAGTCCTCAAGAAGGAGCCTTATAGCAGATCTGTGGACTTATGGGCATGTGGTAAGGGAATTGGATGCCAGCCCATTCAATGCTACTTCTTGAATTTTGTTTAAAATTGCAGAAACATGTCTTCTGGCTCAGGCTTTACATGACACTTTGCTTGATGCAACATAGAAGTCATGTACAGCTGCACAGTACTTAATGTACTCTCAAAGATGCAGTATGCATATACTGTATGCATATATAGTACCTTGATGTGGTAAATTGTCAGAATTTTATTTTTATTTTACTCTGTCTTATTACATCGTTAGTGTTACTGGATGGTTTATTTTCAGGTGTTATCTTGTACATTCTACTTGTTGGTTACCCTCCATTTTGGGATGAAGACCAACACAAATTGTATGCTCAGATTAAGGCTGGCGCTTATGATGTGAGTTGATTCAGTTTGGCTTGTATTCTATTTATTTTAACCATTGGTGTTTTGTCTCTTTGTTTTTAATGCTGAGAAACTAAAGATCAATTAACAAATAACTGACTCATAAATTTAAAATCTTATGCTTAGGAAAATTCATCCAGACCTTATGAGTGTGGCATTCACCGTTTTTCCTAGGGATTGGGTCTAGCTCATCCATTCATTGCAAAATTCAAACATTGTAGGACCTAATCTCTTCTTCTTCTCTTCTATTAAAGATCAAGAACTTTATTTAACTGCGACAAATCATCCAGTTGAGACAAATATTTATGATTGACTGATTCATGGTGGTGCCATTGATAATATTTGCAAGTGAATGTTTTTGGATATTTCCTAACCTTTTTGTTGTGTTTAGTATCCATCCCCAGAATGGGATACAGTCACAGATGAGGCAAAGGTCAGTGATCCTTGGAAGTCCATTACCCTCTCTCTTTCTCAGTGTTTCTTTGCCTGTGAGTCGATATACGGGCCTTGATCAAAGCGAGCCGGCGAGAGGTTTACAAGGGGTCAGGCACTAGAAATGATTAATTCGAGACCTCTTCTCAAGGGCTCAAACTAATTTGCGAGCGAAGAAACGCTCTTACTGAAGCACTAATTGTGAAGGCTTCTTAGAAGGTTATATTAAATAATAGTGGGCTGGAATCCCGCTGTATCTTACTCAGAGTCAAGCGACTGATAAGGTGGCAATTGGATTCGTCATGACACAGTTCCATGTGCACAATACTGAAATAGGAGATAAAGACACCTATGATAAACAGTTAGATTACTGAGGCTACTCCCTGTCCATCACGGAATAGATAGCAAGTAGCCTAGCCAATCAGTTTTCAGTATTTGTGATAGAAGACGGCTAGAAGGCGAAGGCCTTACCACGGGTGGCACGAAAAAAATTCCAGACCGCGGTCTCTCTGGTAAAAAAAACTTGAGCGCTTATGGGTGCGCGATTAGCCAGTCAGATTCGAGAATTTAAGATTACGAGTTACTCAATGTGGAAGAGACGCAGTCCTCGCCTTATTTCCCTATTAATTTGGAAATTGTGTTTGTTTGTTTGTTTTTTTTTTTACACAGGAGCTCATTAACACTCTGCTATGCGTTGATCAGTCCAAAAGGATAACAGCTACAGAAGCGCTGAAACATCCGTGGATCGTGGTATGTCTCTGTACCAACGTCAGTTTGGTTTTTCGCCTTTTCCAGCGCATCAGGCAATCTTTCTGTTTGTGCTTTGAATTTTGATAACCTTATTGTGATGGTTCTTTTGTTCTGAATATCCGTTGTGGTGAATGTAATTTAGGTTTTTCAACACTCGATCGACAACCACCACTCTGAAAGCGGTAAATTTAGGTTAGTGTAAATGACAAAATTGATGAATTTCATCATTTAGAACCGTGAACGTGTGGCTTCCAAAGTACACAGACAAGAAACGTTGGACGGATTGAAGAAATTCAATGCTAGAAGGAAACTTAAGGTAATAGCTGTTTTTTCAGGAATGAAAGCTGAGAACTTCGCAAAAGGAAATGAAGTAATGATTGAAGTTCACAGATTAATACGAAGGGAATTAATCTTTCCGCAACGGAAATTGAGTTATTAAATCTGCGGGAGAAATTGTCACCCACGCGCTAAACGTTAAATGACTTTGAAACTTGATTTTGATTCCAGTTGATTCGTTAACAGGAACTGATTGATTTTTATTTTGATTGGGTTCTGTGTGTACTGTACACAGCTGTATGTGTTCTATTTTGCTTCGTGTATCAATTGCCGAGATAAGTAAAGGCTTTCTTTATCAGCAGGGATCACATGAAGATTTTGCTGTAGTGAGAGAAGAAGACTGAGCAATACAAATTGCTTGAAATGAATGTTAAGCTTCACTTACAGACCGTTGTAAACAAACAGAATAACAAAGAGACTAACGGACAAACAAATGAGAAAACAAACAGAGAGTTACGACTTTGAAAAGCTGTATAATTTATTAACACTAAGCTGTTTTTAAGGCCGGGTTTCTCTTTAATTCGCCCTCTGAGAATGTTGTTTAATCATTTGTTCTTTTCTTTTTCTCTTATTCTCATCTTATGTCTTTCTTTCCTGACTGAGATTTGTTTGATGTTTCTTCAGGGCGCAATTCTGACCACTATCCTGGCAACGAGTAATTTTAATCTTTCTTCAGGTATAATTACTATTCTGCTTGGAGTTTCATTGATGTCACAATATTGTTGTTGTTTCAGGGCGCCATCTTAACAACCATTGTGGCTCGTAGGTTTTCTGCTAACTCAGGTAAATCACGTCACAATAAATATAAATGCTTTAAACGTAAATATTTTGTGTCGAGTCGTAGAGGATTTAAAAACTTTAGTGGACATAAACCTTTTACTAGTTGAATTTACCTAAACCCATTGAGATGCTTAAGTTTCCAAGCCCTTTGAAAATAAAGAAGCGAATTTCCAATAGAGATCAAGTCGTAAGAACGGATACAGGAAAACTTTTCCTAGAAAAAACCCCAATGGTATAGTTTTTCATAGGTATTAAGAGATTAAGTTGACTTTTTTTCATGCATGTGTGTTTCTGAATAAATCGTTGCATAAAGTGGTAAAATACTGAACACTTGCGACATATCTGTGGTCATGTTTAGTATCTCAGTGTTACGTTCCAGCCCTAAATGGCGTATTAGTGACAGTCTTATAAACGAGACTAACCAATCAGCAACCTCATCTGACCAATCGCGATGCCTGCAGTCAATGCGTTGAACTGGAGCCGAGGGCGGGAAGCCTTAGTTTGCAGCATGTTACAGTGTCGACCTTAAAAATGTTTAAAATTGTCCAATTGAGAAATAACTCTCGTAAAGCTTTCTTTGGTTACAGGAGTTAGCTTTCGTTCGCTTATCTTTACTTGTTAATTTTGAGGTTAACGTCACATCTCGGTATAGACCATGTAGTAACATGCATATGGTACACCGTAAATTACACGGCTCTTCTTTAAAACAGGAAAAAAAAACCTCTTAATGCTTAGGACATTTGCGATAAGATGTACACTGGCGGTTAAAGCTTCCTGTTGGTCTGACCGCTTGGTTGTGTTACGACGAAAGATCCTAAAGTTACGAAAATATGATGTCGTGGTATATGGTATATAAACGCTAAATTCAAATAAAATGTTAAAATCTTAGAAGATGTGAGCCCTGTAACCATTTCTCTTAATTCATCTCATTTTGTACTAATCTAATGTGGCCCAAACACGCTGCTCTTCATTTGAACCTCAGCTGTTTCACATCCGCGCTGCTAATATACAAGACAGTTTGTACTTTGTTATTGGTCTCAAAGAAATGAGTTTATTGACAGACTTCAACCCTCACGCCCCGGGCTGAGTTAATGTCTTAAAATGAAGGCTTGAATTGGGGGAAAAGGTTGATCCCGTCCTGGAAAGGGTAGTTCAGAGAAGGACTGGTGTCGGTTATGGGGCGTGGTGTTTCAAAAACCTGAGAGGAAATTCACATCTTAATCAAGCGGAGAGTTATTTTTTATTGACAGGATCTAACTCTTTCACTTTCTATGAGTGACCTAAGAGGAATTTCTTCTTAAAAAGTCGATTTGAATGTATCTTAAAGCTGGGGGTGATGAGAAGAAACGGATGGGCCGATTTACAGAGCCACTGAAAGTGATGAAAATGTCTTACAGACTTTTCTGAGGAAAGATATTTAGATCTTGGAATTGAAAGGGTTAAGTCTGGTTAGTCGAGAATCATCGGCCAGTAATAACAAATCTTAAAACATTCAAAATTTGGTTCCTTTCAATCAGACTTGAAAACAAGATGATGTGTGAAATGAGATTGAGATAAACAACAGTTCAGTCTACAAACATACAAATGCATCGTTTCAGGTTTTGCTTAAGCACTTCTCATCTCATTATCATTATTAGGATTGCTATCATCACCATTATTGCTATTATTGCTATTATTATTATTATTATTATTATTGTTACAATTGTGATTGTTGTTTTTTAAGCAAGTAGTAGTTTGTATCATTGTTATTTTCAGTTCGACCTTTTGTCAGTAAGAAAAAGGGATCGGATGAGGAACTTACGGTTCATTCTGAAGATGAACATGAGGTTGACGTGTCAGCAAATAAAGGTTTGTAATTAATATGCTCCGTTATCTAATCCAAAGACCGATCTTTATGGTCTAAGGTTTCAAGGCGTACTCATCCTGTTTTTTTTTCCTTTTTGTGAGCGTTTACTCAGAAGGCCGAAAAACTCAAAATATTGCACGTTCAACGCATTTAAGGTCAGAACTGCTGGTCACTCGTAGTCTCTCACGGGCTCATCAAGCAACACTCTTCTACTTCCTGTGATAATTCAAGGAAGGGCTGCTTCAGACCGTATTTTAAAATGTTATTATTTCAATGAAAATACAAGAATAAGCGCTGTGTGATGTTTATTTGTCTCACAGATCTTTGTCAAGATTGATTATTTTGCGCCCTTACCTTTGTGTCACTAAATTATTTAGCTTACATGAACATTTTCTTTCAGCCAAAGAACAGCACATCATTCAGCTTACTCAGAAGTTGATAACTAGTATCACGACTGGGGACTTCGACACCTACAGGTATTTATTTTTGTTAGATACCGTTAAAATATGACAGGTTTTTCGTCAACACTTGTTACTGGCACCTGTGTAGTTTCTTGTCGGTTCTTCTCCTTTTTGATCTCCTGGTAATTTGCTAAGCTTTTCCAGCTTTTCTGCTCCACACAAATTGACACTCCAAATGTCAGTTAGACTAAGAAACAGTGAACGAGCTGGTCCTTGGCCGAGTTCTTTTCAGGAAAATTGTGGTAAATCCTACTTCATTTATTTCACTTAATTGTTGGCTACCTAAGCTTTGATTAAATCAAACGTTATGAGAAAGATTTGTTCCCACGCTCGTGACAAGACGAAAAAAACATCTTTCTCTATTTCTTTACCGTGCTCAAAACCTACCATCTCTTTTATTTCTATCTAAAAACATTACGCTATCGACATTGCTGATCCTAGCAGTATGCAGGACGCGTGTCATAAAATTATGAACTTCGTAATAGACCTCACTTACCGTGGAGTCTCTGTGGCTCAGTGGTAGAGCATCGGAGCGCGGAATCCGAAGGTCTGAAGTTCGATTTCTCATGGGGACTTAGAATTTTTTCTTTGTCCCACGCTGGTGATAGTAAATGTTGTTGCTTTGATCTGTTGCAGCAAATTAGTAGACCCACATGTGACAGCGTTCGAACCTGCATCTAATGGCAACTTAGTTGAAGGCTTAGAGTTCCACAAGTTTTATTTTGACAATTGTAAGTCGAATTTATTTACTTTTTCGTCTGGTTCCCTTTGTTCTCTGATTTTCCTTTTAATTCCCCGAAATAGAAATAGCATGTTTAAGGTTTTACACATCACGGTTTTGCACATCACGGTGTTGCACGTCACAGTTTTGCACATCACAGTTTCGCACTTCACTGATTCGTATTTTTCCCTGTTATCTTCATGTCGTCAAATTTGAGCCACATGTTTGTAGGGTCTGTTACAGTAAACGCGAATGAACTTAAGAAATCTTGCAAACTTTTTTTCTTTCCCCTAGACCTTTTTTAATTTAGAAATTAACTTACAGGAAGAAAATAAGGAACTTTTTGGAGACACGGACAGAAACTGGGAGGTCCTCGTTTTATCATCTCAAACCAAATGATACACACCGAAAAACACTTAAGTATGCGCCAGGAGAAAAGAACTCTCAACTTCCAGTAGCCGTGCGCGTCTCCAAAACGTCGATGCTGAAGCTCTCTTTTATAAACACCAGATGAACTAATTTTTGTTATCAATGAATCTCGCTCCGACAGTTTATAGTATTGCATGATTATTCTTTTGATGATTTAAAACTAGAGGACTTGGAGAGCACTGCGTCTCTTTAATAATGGATTTTTTCCTATTTTTTATTTCAATTTATTTAGTGCTAGGCAAAAGAGCAACTCCAGTCAATACAACTATTTTGTCGCCCCACGTACACATGCTAGGAGATGAAGCTGCTTGTATCTGCTACGTTCGGCTTCAACAGTTCATAAGCAGGTGAAAACTGGTTACTTCAATCCAAACATCTATCCCATAGAAGTTTTAATAGTCGTGATATCTCAGAAATGTAATTCTATTGAAATGCTCTGAGGTTAAAAACGATTTTTGTCAGAAAAAGCCTTTCTTACGAAGTTGGTTGATCGGTTGGTTGGTTGGTAGGATAATAGATTGCTGTAGGTAAATCCTGTTTAGAGGTATTTGTGATGGTAATAGGACTGAGTGCTGAAATCGGGCAGGTGAAAACCAATTACGCTCCTGAATTTCGTCACAATTTTGATTGACTGTACGTCCTTTTCTTTCGTAGTGCTGGTGTACCATTGACAAGGCAGACCGAAGAAACACGAGTCTGGCAGAAAAAGTCTGGACATTGGATCAACGTACATCTACACATATCAAACGCGACATGCAGTCCGAAAAGTTAAGACGAGTTGGCTGCACATGGTAATTCCTGACGTCATTGTAATGGCGGAAGTACTTTAGCGTATAGCGCTTTGAAATAATACACGAACTGAGTGGCACGTGACTACGCAGGACGCCCGCAATACATGATGGCCATTGACTTTTGTCAAACTAGTAAAATTGAATCGCAAAAAGGTTGCTTATACTAGAACATAATGCTTGTTTTAAACTGTATCAACTTGTATTTTAAGAAATAATATTACTGCGTTCTGCCGCACCATGAAGTAATATCCAGCTTTTGGTCATGCTTTTACAGGATGTTTGGTAGATTTTATTTCAGGGTTGTAAATACTATCTAAAGTAACAATAGGTTTCTTTCAATGCTGCAATGTAGTTATGAAAACAGTCACTTTTTCCAATGAAGGCCATGGAAATGTAGGCCGACTAGGAAGTTATTTATTTATTAATTTTTTCCCGAATTCTGGGATTATTGTTGCATACAATTGTTGGAAATGTTGGAATTTTTCTCAGTGTGTTATTTGAATGTAGATTATGTAGGTGTGGTAAAAGAAAAGTTGCGTGATACAATAGAATCTAATTTTTAATTGAATTTAGGAATTTTAATTTTAAAATGTAATATTTGGGGTATGATGAGTGTTTAACTACTTCACAAAAATATTTTACAAGTTGTTCTAGCTTGTTATTGAATTACAAACTATATGGCGCAAAACAAAATTTATCTGTTATAAACAGTAAACTCAATAGTAGGAGGGAAATATTTGGCGCTTAAAAAGGTTTAACAGTTTTATTATTATTATCATTATTATCATTATTATTATTATTATTATTATTATTATTATTATTATTATTATTATTATCATTATTATTATTATTATCATTATTATTATTATTATTATTATTATTATTATTATTATCATTATTATTATTATTATCGTAAGTCATTATTATTATTATTATTATTATTATTATCAGTGTATTATGATAATCTTTATTGTCATTGTTATAACTACTAATATAACACGTGTTACATTTCAAGTAATTAAGAGAATTTTCGAATGAATGTCAAGTTGCAAAACCAGATCCAAGGTTATTCTCACGGCCGATCAGAACAAAGGAAATAGTCGCGGGAATTCTATTGAGAATTTCTTTATTCCGACAACCGATTAATTGCATTTAGATAATTAACTGAATTTAAGCAATTTAGAAGTTCATGAAACCTGCTGGCCTTTGAAACTGTCATTCATATGTCAACTTCCATCGGACATAATTAATACGCGCAGATTATAGTAGTTTACAGTAGGCGCTCATGTTTTACTTACTTCCAGGATCAAGAGTCAGAGAGAAAAATTTGTTAGCTTTGCTTACTTAGGATTTTTGGAATTGTCCATATTTCGTGAATTTCGTCGTGCCTGTCAACTTAAGAGGCCCCCGTCAAGGTTTTTGGACAGGTTGCAAGTTTTCTGTAGTGTTCGTGTCTTTGTTACCGTTAATTTCGTCGGGACATTCGTCTCTCAAGACAAATATCCAGTAAGGAATGTCATTATGTTTTACTGTAATTTTTGTCACTTGTCTTTTTACCAAAACATGTCTAAAAGTCGTACACTTCGTAACTTTGAAACCAAGTCCAACCCGGGACTTAGCACTTAATTAGCAGACCAAAGCGCAAGTCTCTATGTGGATTTAAGTTACACTATAGCTGCCCTAATCTCTCCATGACCATCTAATTATCTCTTTTCAACAGCAATTGCATTTTTACAAGTAAAAATTTTGTGCCCAAGGCCAAATTCTTATACTAGTAGTACTAATTATCGATTTAACTTTTTAGGTTGCGACAGACTGTCCTTGAAGGAGGGCACACGTCGCGCTATATATCTGTTGCAAAATTTACTGTAGTTTTCTGTGCCAGCTGAAATAATTCAAACTGTAATTGATGGATAGTTCATTGCTTCAAATTAAATAAAGATGGCCGTGGCTTTGGTGGTCTTATGGCATCTTTTTGACTGAAAGCAGCTCACGATTTTGAAAAACGCCCGCAGAAAAATGGGTGGCTTTATCAGTTGTCACCTACGAGTGGGTTCTCCTTCATCTTGAGGTTGAGCGAAGTTGAAAATTCTTCAGCAAGTGAGTGGCGCTACACATTAGTCGCTTGTGAAAAGAAAATGTGACATGAGTCTACCCTAAACACCCTAACATCAGTATGCAAACTATCCATACAGTTCCCTATACATTTCCCAAGATGCTGACGACGAGAATTTGTTTAACAATTAGGTGCTTCTTCAGTTGATTTGCATTCAGCTTTCTTCTCGTGATTTAGTGGTGATAACTGAAGCAAGTCACGTTTAAAAATAGCACAAGACCTTAAGATTGCTCAAGATATAGACAGGATAATGGCAGAAAACAACGAAAATACCGATAAAATTGAGCTTTACAACCTTTCCTGTTATTCCGGGCTTATCCCAATTTTCGTGGCTTGTAGCCACCAGATGTAAAGCTACCCTCGCTGGAAGAAGCACCAGTCCATCGCAATTCACCTTCAACATTTCATTTTGTTATATACCTAAACTTTCAGTTTACAAAACGAACACTGTGATTGGTTGATTCTTTGTCAAGTGCCCCTAATCAAATTCAAATGTATCCCGACCGGGATACCTTTGCGGAGTTGTTGCCCGCGCGCCGATTTTGCCTCATGATTGTTTAAGGGAAAGTCTAAATATTTAACAAAGCACTTAAGTTATAGTCCCATCGGGAAACTAGTTAGTTTTGTTTTCCCTCGAGTCCTGATGTTTCCCTTCACTTCATCTCGGCAAACATGAGGACTCGAGGAAAACAAAACTGTTTCCCTTCGGACCATACATTAAGTGTATAATGTTCCCCTCGCGGTTTACTGGTTCCTGCTTACTCTCCTGGGTGGAGAGATGAAGTGAAAGTAATGTTTTTCCCAAGAACACAGCACACTGTTAAGAAAGAGGCGCTAATCATGAGCATATTCCATCTAATGTCTACTTTCAACTGATCCTGTGATTCGAGTTTCGTCCCTTTTTCGAATCCGAACATGGTTTCCCCCTGAAGAAGAACCCAGTAACTTTATGAACGATATCGTACTCAAGAGATAAAAGGAGTGGAGAGTAACACCTTTATTACAACCTTACTATTACATAAAAAGGTACATTCCCACCTTCAAAACACTATTTACAGTCTAGTCTGAAGAAGTCTCTAATAACAGATTTTGTTTCAGTCCGATTTTCACTGGCGCATCATTGCGAACACAAAAGAGCGAGGAGAGACAAAGAAAACGGTGAATGGAAATGAACAGCGGTTAATTTTTGCATTTTTCTCTCAGTCCGTCCAAAACCGGAAGGTAAAAACAGCCTGTCGTGCTTGAGAGAATTCCAGTTAAGAAAGTACTTGAAACCAAACCAAAAATAAAAACTGCAGCCAATCAAAAGAAAGAAACATGAAATGAAAACACGAGTGACCAAGTCGTGATTGGTTTTAGTTTTGAATCTGAGTGGTTGAGTAAACCAACTACAGTTAGAACGCCTCAGCAATGAACCCTAGCACCGAGATCACGCCGGACAGCGAAAGTAACACAAACGTAACCATGAACATAAAACTGAAACAAGATTGTTCTTCTTCGTCATTTTCCTAACTTTTCGCGCGTGTCTTGGCTTGTGTTTATGCTCAAGCGAAAACCAGCCTTTCCTGGATGCGAGCGGCAACCTTTTAAACCACTATTACACATTTATTTCCCCTAAACATACACCCATTACATTACTTTAGTGACAGAATAAATAATTTCTTGGAGTTAAATTAACACCAGAGCAGAGCCACTAAATTCCAAAGTTAAAACTGAGCACTTCCTTCGCCCCCCCTTCTGCTGTCAGCATGCGCTGAAACGTTTTCTTTAAAAAATGATAATCCATTTACATCCGTTAGTGCAGGCCTCTGCGAGATATCATGACCCATGTTGCGAAGATCCTTCTGTATACTAGAGGCCACTTTCTTGTTTTCGAATTTGTCAGCTAGGGGAAAACATAGAGCAAAGTCAACCGTTTGTTATGTTTCAATATCAGCAAATAAAATTTAAATTAAACAGAAAATTGTGATGGCAACTGGACTTGTGGGGAGCAAAGGTTAACTCTTCTCTGTTCTTCAATGGGCCATATTCATCATGCAGTGCCTCTTCTGGGGTACGCACAGCCCGTTCCCAGTGGTGGAGCAGATTAAAAAGGGAGGAAATTTGGGTTGGATTCACTTCATAGTTATTCGCCTTGAAAAGGCTCAGATAAGTGCAAAGCATTTCATGCTAAAAAATTTTAACTCCCCTTTTCAAATACAACTCATTCAAACTTGAACCCTCATTTTGAACATGACAGTACTTAGGATTCGGAAAAGGCATATTTGAGTCACGCCGTTGTCTGTATACCACATGAGAATTCTTAATTTACGTAAACACTGACGAGACGAAGTCAAATTTGGTAAAATAGCAATGAACGTCATAATTATTTGTCTCTCTGCCTGTCGCATGCAAAACCAGAAATGAAAAACAAAGCCAACATCAGTACCTTCAATTTCTGGAGTGCCAGTGTTTATATTAAAGAATACTCTTGGTCTTTCAATGGAACTCTTCAACGGCTCATTAAAGGCGAGATAGCTAACCAAAACTTCAGCTACCGAAGGCGTTATGTACATTCCACCAGAAGCCCCCAGTGACATGCGGAACCAACAACGTTTCTGAAGAAATAAAACAAACGTTAACAACTTCTACAGCGAACGCTCATGATGCTCGATTGGAACACGGAGATGTGGAAGAAGGAGGATAAGGTTAGAGAAAAAGAGGAAGGGGTAAAATTTCCGCACAGCCCCAAACTAAATATGCATTCAGTTCTCGGTTGGAGAAAACAATGACAAAAACAATACATTGCCATTGGGAAAACAGATTTGTTTACAATAGTATGGGGCTGTGCGGAAATTTTACCAAAACTTTTTACAATTTAAATAGAAAGTTATAATACAATATTTACACGACTGATCGCCACGCCGTTTATTAATTTTTTGCAATTGCTAGAGCACCGTTTTACACCGTTTTTTCCCAAATCTTATTCCTTGAATCACTCACAACAATAACGATACATCAGTTGTAAATATTGTGTAAGACAGACACATATTCAAAGTTTCAAAGTCTCGCTTTTTTGCTGAGATACAATCATAATTGCTTGGTTTTTCATTCTAACAACAACGATTGTGGAGATTACCGAGCTGTAATGTAATTTTTAGTTTTACTATAGTCTTCGAAAAAACGTTGCATTCATCTTATCGCAGGTACCATTACTCGACGGTGCATTTTATTGGTAATTTTGCTTCCATATGTCAGTCTTTTAAATGAAGTTTAACATACAGGCGACATTGAACCTTGGCAAACTTCGTTACCTCCTTATGAAGAACAACAGTTGGCACACAGGACGAGAGAGGACGCCTTCCTGGCACAATAAAGTTAGCCTGAAAGTAAACGGCCCGAATGTTGGCAGTTAAATGAACAAATTCCAACTGAATAAAACACATTTAGCACGTTCTTACATTGCGTTAGGTCGTCGACGAGGAGAGAGTCGAGGTTATTCTGTGAAATGTCGGGCTAAGATATTTTTATAAGTATGATTACTTTTGGAATAGCCATCATTTCCCTATAAAGGTGGAATAATACACAGGATGTAGCAAACGTTTTGACTTACCTTGGGTGGCCCATCCCAGCCAACCTTCGTGACTCCAGGAATTGAAAAGTCTGCCATCTCATTGTTTAAAATAATTCCGTTCTCTGTCATGATGCCCGAACCAAAATATTCATTTATTGAGCTGGAAAAAACACATCGAAAAAACGAATTTTAGATATCCTCGCAGCTAAGAACACTACTGAACTAGTAGTTGAAAATAGGACCGGACAAAAATTCAGGCTCGTACGGGATTTGAACCCATGACCTCTACGATACCGGTGCAGCGCTCTACCAACTGAGCTTACAAGCCAACTGGGAGCTGGTCAATATGTTGGGTCCAAATAAACCATCCAAGTGATGAATAATGATTTTAGATGTATGAAATTCATATATTTGTACTGCGGTGAAGAAACGAATTTAGAGAGTATTACTCAGTTGGTAGAGCGCTGCACCGGTATCGCAGAGGTCATGGGTTCAAATCCCGTACGGACCTGAATTTCTTTTTTTTCAGGTCCTATTTTCAACTACTAGTTCAGTAGTGTTCTTTACTGCGAGGATCTCTTAAATTCGTTTCTTCACCGCAGTGCAAATGTATGAATTTCATATATCTAAAATCATTATTCATCACTTGGATGGCTTATTTGGACCCAACATATTGACCAGCTCCCAGTTGGCTAGTTAGCTCAGTTAGCAGAGCGCTGCACCGGTATCGTGGAGGTCATGGGTTCAAATCCCGTACGGGCCTGAATTTTTTTCAGGTCATATTTTCAACTGCTAGTTCAGTAGTGTTCTTAGCTGCGAGGATCTCTTCAATTCGTTTCTTCACCGCAGTGCAAATATATGAATTTCATATATCTAAAATCGTTATACATCGAAAAAACATGGAAATAATCATTTCCGAGTTTAACAGAAAATCTTATGTACTTACACACTCCAAGACTTTGCATCGGTTGTTAAAGTCCTTAACAAATTGCATATTGGGTATTGGCCTAATTTCTTCGAGGTGTATTTATGGACCAATACAACACCATGATCTACAAATACTCCAGAACTAGCAATTGCGAAGAGCTAACATTCGAACGTCAGTTGATAATACTTAATGACCATAAGAAGGGTTAACCCTGATGGACTAACTCTAGCGCAACTCTTCTAACTGTCTTTTGTCAGTTATGTTCTAAATATAGTGTAACCCTTCCACACACCTGGTAACACTCACGAGTTCACCATCGGGTCCTATAACAGACACGTGCGCAGTACCATGTGACTCTGCTTGGCCAAACATTGGCCCATAATAAGATTCATTGAAGGTTTTGTTGGGTGAGATTTTCTCTCTGAGGGATTTCGCATGTTCTTTGCTGAAAGAAAAGTTGGATGTGAGAATTTCAAAAAAATAGGGAACGAAGAAGATTCATTTCCATAACTAAGAAAGGCGTTGAATAATTTTCAACAAAGGCAGAACGGGTCTTAAGTTCTAACATCGATTTTTACAGATTTTCTTTTCCTTACGAATTCCTTACAACTAAAAGTAACATTTGTATCTAAAATGCAAGTAAAAATCAAAAATATACTTTCTTTCTGACTCTAACTCATAATTATAATTAATGTTGGTGTGTATCAATGAAGGACACAGAAAGACTGGAGGCGCGGTCGCCTCGGTACCCTTCTTTGATGTGTTGTCACAACGCTGCGTGACAACCCACGAAAGGCGGCGAAGGTCAGAGAACTTAAAAAAGGAGTGGACCAATGAAAAGAGAACGAAAGGAGCATTTAGAGTAAAATGTGAAAAGTATAAAGACTTTATTTCCCCAGTACCCTAAAATCCTTCTACACATACAAAACGTTTCTACAAACTGCTATTCATTTTGCATAAAAAACGAAACATTGGAAAAAAAAGATGAAATTGTGCAGCACATCTACCTTAACATTTGGTTAACAATTTTTGTGACATTGCCATCCTCAAGCAATGACCTCTGGGCAAAAGCAAACTTTATGGCCTATAAAATAAATCAACAAACACATTTATAAGACATGTGGGCATCACAATAACCCTTCTACAAAATTAATTAAGCCTTAGTTAATTTTGATCATTATTACAATCATAAAACAGGGTACTACGTGTCTAAGAAGTTCCAAAATAAATTGGAGAAAATTTAAGAACTACTATGAAGCTGCAGTAGACTCATATGGTGCTTCATTAAAAAAAATTAACTCTGTGCAAAATTACAATTTAGGGGATTTCCTCTGTAAAATTTCTTATTGGAAATCTGATGAGACAGAAGGTTTGAATGTTTGCCTGTATTTTCCTAAACATGTATCTTCCTCACCTCTATAATGTAGTGGTATGAGCGGCTTTTTCCTTGATCTTTGTTGGTGAAATTAAATCCTTCAAGGATATTTAGCAATGACACTAAAACAGGTCCCCCAGAAGGTAAAGGTGTTGTAATCACCTGATAACCTGGAAAAATATAGATTGAAGATGACAACAACATTAAAATTTTACTTTCATGTTCACAATAGGGGTTAGAGAGTTAAACTAAAAGAACAGGCACACACAGTTTTTAATTCTATCAAACACTGAAAACATACATGTACACTTGAATCTGCTCTCAGAGCCACTTAAATATTTTGCTTACGTTCAAAACAAAAATAAATGACTAATTTATTGTTTCATACCAAGATATGTTGAATTAATGACAGCTTTGCTAAGAGGCTTGTAGTCTGACAAATCTTTACTGGTTAGGATTCCATTTGCTGATGTGACCTGAATCCAATCCAACAAGTAACATTAAAGTCTATAGATTCAAACAATAGTGAAAACTAATTTGCAGTTCAAAGTGAAAGCAAGTAACTTTTTAAGTTTCTATTGAAAGTTAACCCCCAAAATATTTGAATCTCGTCACCTTTTCTTTATCTGTTTTGCACCATGTTTATTCATTAGTGATTTTTGGATGTACACTCATGTATATGTATCTTGCAACCCTCCAACTGCATGATTTTGCAAAAAGTTTGTATTTTGAATTATTTATTATTAACATGTCCTTGATCAATAAAAATTATTGATGATAACCAGTAAAGGTTCAATAACATCAAAATTAACAAAATGGGAAAATGCAGGACTAGTTGTCAGCTTTAGCAAATTAATTTGAAATTGTCACTTAATTATGGCTAAAAAATTCATTTACATCAAAAATTCCTATTTTCTCCAAATAATAAATGGTTCCTTATAAAAGGGCTGAAGCAAAAACGAATACAATATGTAAACAAGTGTGGTTATTTAAATGAACTGCTGGTAAATATAGTTCTCTCCATTTTGAGTCATTAATTTTTTGTGAAGTCCTCTCTTTGTGACTTGGATTGAATGTGTCTTCTTGAATTATGGTCAAGTCGCCAACAGTTCAACTCGCCAATGTATAAAATCAAGTAGAGACGTCTGCAAGTTGGTCTTTAATCCAGTACAACTTATTAGAAGTTAAACAAAGTCATATAGAAAAGTAAAAGATATTTAGTAAAAAAAAAATTTTCTTTTCTTTCAGCATAATTTATAAGGATCTCATGGCAAAAAAAGCAAGATAAACATCCCCAATGACTATAAAAGCTTCAGACCTGACAAATTATTATTTAATGTTTTCCCCTGACATCACAGCAGTTATATTGGTTATCAAAGCAATAAAAATGATAGCCATGTTGATGCCCTAAGTAAGTCCTGTAGGATTCAATAACTTTTCGTACACATTAACACTTCTTTGTTCCGATCAATTTGCATACAATGCAGTTTATACTGAAGACATCAAAAAAAAAAAAAGAAAAGAAATTCCTAATTTAAGTTTTGCAAGCTAAAAATATTAGATAAGTAGAAACTACAGTAAATTGTCCTAATGCCCTGGAGTGGACTTCCAAGCAAAGCCCACCTGAATTATTACAAAGCAACATATCCCTTTTCATGAAAAGAACTTACCGCAGCCACTATTTTTTCTGCAATGGGTCCTCTGTACAAAACATCAGCCCCATGGTCTGCTATGTTTTGTAATGTCTCTGCCAAAGCTGGATTTCTCATTATATCTCCTTCCTAGAAATAGTAACCTGTACCTCAACATTCAATCTTCTCTCCCTTCAAGCATACCTTGGTAAAAAAGGCTGATGCCATTTTAAGCAGGTGTCCTTTTGAAACTCATGAACTTTAAGGTAACTGTGTTTGGCACATATCATTTTCAAGTGGAATATATAAGGCTACTAGCTAGTGGTTTCACAATTCATATTTCTCAATGATTTTGTTCTCAACAGTGACTATCAATCCTTTTAAATTGGGCAAACCTGTACAAGAAGCACACTGCTGGACTCCTAAACATCTCCAGCTTTGAGAGAGTTGACTAATATATTTTCTTGAATTCCAAACCTCTTGGTGGAACAAATTTCAATCAAGGGTTGATCTTAAAACATAATGTATTGACATGTTACTTTGATTTCCTTTCTGTTGCAACTGAAGTAAAAGAAATTACCTTCAAAGGCTTCCCTTGTGGGTCCAAAATCATTTCTTTTAGTTTAGTACTAAGGGATTCCTTTGGCAAATTCCTTAGAACTCTTCCTGCATAGCAAATTAGCCTCAGTTGATATAAAGTCAAGTACTTGTTTAAACTACTAAAAGCTTATCTTATCAGCATGTTCATTGGTTGATACTGTAGTAAGAACTATGTTCTAATTCAGAGTTTAAGGGAGAATGCCAAAATAAGGCCCAACAAAGGAAAAATAACTGACTAGAAGTCTGGTATCCAAAAAAAGGAATATGAAAGCAAAATCGCGAGGAATTTTATGCAACATTTTGTACAAAAGACTGGGATGATAACAAACATGATAGCTTTGGTGTAGTGGTTACTGCTGTTGACCCACACCTCAAAGAGAAAAAATATAAAGACTCATTTATTCTTGTGAGAGGTTTTAAAAGTTTGAAAGAAATTCCTAAGGAAAAAACCAGACTGCTCTGGCAAAAGGCAAAGGAAAGTGGCCAAACTGGTGAGCCATGACACAAGATAAAGACAACTAAAATGGAAAACAGAGTCATATTTCTCAACGACTACAAATTGCTCTTTATCCCAAATTGTACTTTTAAATTTAACAATTGGTTCATATGTCAGCGTGTGATCATCAAGATATGAAGCACGCGGGAAGTTTGGAGGGCATGAATAATGCGTCAGAGTTGCTCGAGGCTATGCCTCAAGCAACTCTAGCTTCTTGAGTGCTCTCCAAACTTCCCAATTGTTGATTAGACAAATTTTTATGTGATAACCTATACAGCTCAAGTTCAAAAAACCATAATATATGTAACAAAAGTATATTAGAGAATCAGAAGAGGAAATTCTTAATATGTCAAAAGTAAAACACAAGAAAATTTGAATGAAAAACAATAAGAAACGATCGTTTCTTTCTATTTTGTATCAAACATCTTGAGCTCATAAACACTTCAAGTGAACACTGACCTGTGTGAGCAGTCACCTTAAAACCTTCTTTGGCTAGTTTAATGGCAGGTTCAAAAACTTCTGACCACTTTAACCTGTGATGGATATTACATAAAAATATTTTAAGCACCAACATGCATTTCAACACAAGAAGGTATAGAGAAACTGCACTTTGCAGAATGTATATGTACTTAATGTCTTAAACTTGATTGCATGGACATGCTGCAGTTCAAATTTTTTCTTGATTTAATAAATATTTTCCACCCATTTTGACTAATTTACAATGTAATGTTCTTTATCTGTTAATCATTATAATCATGATATCATAACTTTGGGCAACAGATCACGGGAAATTTTTCACCAGAACATATAAATGCTACATTAACTTGCACTATTAATATGAATTTGTCCTCTGTACATGTAATTTCACAGAAACAATTCTGTCAAAATGAAAAACAATTTTGAACCAATAGTTTGGAAGTTAATCATTAGTTCCAAGACTTAGTGTACAAAGTCAGTATGTCAGCATAAATTCAGTTCTCTGAAGCCCTTATAATACAATTGTTAAAATTCATAACAATTTTTAAAATAGCCAGGCAGATTTATGTAAAATCCATTGTTCGCAATATTCCTCGGCATCTATTCTTTAACCATTTACACCCTAACATCAGTCTGCAAGTTCTTGCTATAGTTTCCTATACATTTCCTATGGTACCTAGAAGGACAATTTGTCATATAATCAAGAGCTTGTTGAATTTGTGATCATTTCCTTTATTCTCACAACCATCATATTTGATCCATGGTACCTTGGGAGAAGGACAAATTCCATGTTAACATGATGATACTTACTTTCCAGACTTCTTGTGTGCCAATTCAAATCCTTTTATTTCACCTGGCACAGCAACTGACAACCCACCCTGGTCAAAAAATAACTTTTTGTAAGTAGAAACAAGTATAGAAATAACAATATCCTTAATGCTTACAGCCTCACTTTGGTCATACATATACCCCAGCTTAAATTCTTGATACCAGTACAGTGTATCCTATTAAGCTGTGAATTGAACACAGAACTAATCACTTGTTTGGTTCCAAGGATAATACCGACTGTGGTACAGTAATTGGTAAATTCTCTGGTCTTGTTTTAGAATTTATTCCTTTTTCCTTACTAGCAACACTTTAATTTAGTTAGTACTGTTAAATTTTTTTTGCAGCACAATGATATTCTAACTTGTGATTTTAATGAACAACTTCTCAATGAAAATGAGTTCCTACATATTGAAGGCCAAATCAAAGCAGAAAGACTCATAATTTTACTTTTAATTTTTTTTAACTACAAAAAGATGCAAGGCTTACAGAAACAAAGAAGTCATTGTGAGTGCATAAACTTTTGACTGTACTCAGACTCTATATTCCATGTCTAGACATATTGCAGTCTCACCCATCTCGCAAGTGATCCATTTCCTTTAAACATGTCTTTAGTGGCTGCTTGTGGTGCAACTTCTCTGAAATCAATCACTTCTGCTTCTTCTTTGTCCTTCTTGGGAACTACAGTCAGCATGAAGCCACCACTACAAACAAAAATAAACACCAGACACACAGGAATCAACCACTACATCACTGCACTTGACTTGCTAGTACATTTAATATAATCATTAACCCTTCAAGCAGAGACTGTTCTTTGCATCATGTCAATTAGAGAAATATTTTGGCTTGTAAATTTACATCAAAAGTCACAAATTTTGTGTAATGTGTTCCCATGTGAAGATATGAATGTCACCTGGTGATCAAAGGATTCAAGCCAAGGCATTTAATTTTGTGTGTAGAGGAAGGGCTTTCTTCTATAAGTGCATTACTGAGAAGATGTATTTATCTTTCTTTGTGGGAGAAAATAAAATGACTACTCCAAAAGGAAAACACTTTGTCTTTTGTGTAGGAAGTTGGTCAGAAATAACATTTCCAAAGAAAAATTTGTGTGTACACATACATGACTGTATATCCCTGCAAACACTGTAAGTGCACTTGAGAAATGCATTTTTTTGTAACATTTAATTATTATTTGTAATTCTTTGCTGACTTATGAAGTCTTATTTGACATGGGGTACATGTAACTTTTATATAAACCCTGTATAAATAATATAAAAAATATTGAAGGCATCAGAAATTGAACAGTCTTATTATTAATTAACCAATTTCATTTTCATTTTGATTCATTATTTTTTTCAAAGTCACATCAAAATCACAAAAATGCAAATATATTAAATTATTTTGAAAAAGTTTCTCTACATATGAAATAATATTTACTTAGTAAATGAACAGAAAAATGGCTAAATGAAGAAGCCATATATTTATGTGTTTATTGCATCTCTGATAGTATTTAATATGAAGTGTTACTGAATATAACAATAATACTATCATACCCTCCTAGCCCTGAACTTTCTGGATTCATCACTCCAACACATAACATGGCTCCTATAGCAGCATCAGTAGCAGAGCCTCCTTTCTTGATCAGATCCAAACCCACATCAGCACATTCTTTAACATCTGACACCACAGCAGCATGACCTGATTGAAAAAAAAAAAACCCTCATAATCGGAACAAGGAAAAGATATTACAGCAACAAAATCTACCACTTCTCCATGTGGTTCAAAATAAATTGCTTGTGTTTGGTCTGAGAGAAATCCTCATTTGTGTTGAATATAACAATATCACCCAATAGATTTTTCTTCATGCTCAACACCTGTAGTACTTGATATCATATTGATAATGTAAGGAGAAAAAACATCACCATTAATGGACACTCTCCCTAAGACCCAGTACTACACTTAATAAGGCTGTTACATTACAATCCCATTATTAAAAGCCCCATATAAATGTTTTATACACTCCTCTACATAGTAAAACAGATACCCATAATGAGCTGGCTCTAGTTATGGACACATTTTTAGCAACACAAGCGAAGGTCAACAATTTTGCAGCTAGCTATCAGGAGTTTCTATCATGATAGTTGTGAAAACAAAATGAGTTAAATCCGTGCACATTCATTAAGGTTCGCTACATTTAGGCTAAACAGGCTACATGCAAACAATGAAGGAAATAAAAAACAATGACAATAACTTAGAACCTTTTCATTAAAAACTTAAAAATGACTGACAAAAAAAATTTTTGTACCTGTATGGTGATGACCAGTATAGATATCCACAATAAGAGCTGCAGTCACAGCAATGCCAAACACTAGACAAGCAACTATGATCATACGGACCTCCCTCCCTCTGTTACGCTTTCTGTGCAGGTTATAACCACTGCTTATAGGCTCACTCTATAAGAATTATATACAATGTACCGTGAAGCATGAAAACATTCCAGGAGTTCCACATAGCAGATCACCAACTACTTATGCTTGGTTGGATTAAGTTTTCAAAGTCCAAGATTACGTACTTATTACAAGTTCTCCTGGGAACTAAATTAATAGCAATTTTCTCTAGCAGATCCCTAGCAGATATAGTAATGCGGCATTTTCAACTTTCATCATTTGCTTCACAGCAAACCTCTCTATCAGGAAATGAGGGAGAATTCATTAAATCGAAGAGTGTAATTTCCAAGAAAATCTATTATGATATGGTAATTTATCTTTTTTCGGTTTCCGCAGGTTTTCTGATCATCTAAGTACTGATTTCGTTCCTCAATTATCAACCAGATACTGTCATTTTGAAAATTCCTGGGCAATCTTTGGAGAGATTTCCGCACAGCACCGTCATTATGCTTGGAGTTTATGGATTAAAAGAGAGCGAAAAAGATCTAGGTAATCGATTGCCTCTGGGATTTTTCCAAACTGAATTCGAAATAAAGTAATATATATCGATATATATTTAAATCAAATCATAACAAGCATGAGTCAACTACCTGCATACATTATATCTTAATTATGTTCAACCAAAATGAATCGACACGCAATGATTGAGGCTACCTCTGGTAACAGGGGGTTTATTAGCTTATCAACCTTCAACAGTAATTATTCCATAAAGCACAAATGACGCTTTAAGCTGATTAGAAAGTAGAGCTTAGTGTGCTTACCTGTTCGCCATCATGCCGAATGAGGCTAACCGTGTCTTCGGCCGAGGTGTTCATTTCCTCTAACGCCGTTCCGCCAACCATTTTTTCTCTTTCATTCAAGGTCGAGCGGGTTTCTTATACACTGGGATATTTAGATCTCTACAAAGACACGAGCCAGATTTGCGAAAAAAAATAATAACCTCCTCTATTCAGTGTGTCGTGCTTTCATAGGAAGTTTACGTTTCCAGACGATGAGAATAGGTTCCAGACTCCTGCAGTCGTTTTGAGAGCCCGCTGTGCTTTGAATCATCATCAGTCGGTCACGACCGGACTTGGCTGGTCCGGTATAAGTTCCTGTCGTTCGTGGAGAGCCAAAGCCAACCTCTCAATCAGCTGAAGGGTTGACGATCGGCCCGGTCCTCTGCCTTATGAAAATGAGTAATAATTGCCCAAAATCAAAGTAGATGTTGACAATTATACATTTTTTTCTTTATTTTGCCGGCTAAATACTAAACCAGTGGAAAGCGTCAAAGGCGCTCTCTGATGGCAACTCAAACTCCGAATATCCTTTGCTACTCATCTTCGAGCGACTCACGGGGAATTTTCGCTAGAAAATATTGTAAGCATTGCAGGAATAAATGAGTTAAAATCATCTTTTTGTGCCATATTATCTCACTGTTTTAATATATACTAAAATAACGTTCCATTTACCGAAGTGGATATGGCTACTTCTTTGCCGCTTCGTGGCTCGGATAAATATCCACCACTAACCACCACCACTTTGGTGAATACCGCGTTTCCTCGAGTAAGTGCCCACGCTCCAATAAGAGCTCTCCCCCCCCCCATAAGCGCCCACCACCTTGGCCATAATGTCTACAACAAGCGCCCCCCATTGAATAACCACCCCCTCCAACTTTTATAAATAGTTGGGATACAAGGAAAGCCTGTTTGTATTGTCACTTAATTTCTGAGTTTTTAAATTTCAACTACAACGGAATCAGTTCAGGAGAAGAATTAGCATCCCCTTCGATTAAGCACCCTCCTTCCAATAAGCACAACCCCCCTTCTTTTAGCCGAAATTATAAGTGCTCTGGCGCTTATTCGAGGAGATTCTGTGGTTGTTAACCAGAACGGTTCGCCAGCCACAATGTCTCATGATCAGTCAACCGTGAAGAAATTTACAGTCACGATTCACTGATAAGTTGTCATCCAGACTAAAGATTATTTTTACAGGCAATTAAAACTCGCTTACTCTCTGTAAGTTGCCATTCTTTTTCAATATCTCGATTATTAATACTTTGAAATCAGTCGGTAAATATTTTTCCTGGTGGTAATTTAGTATATGCAAGTTGGCCTTGTCAGTTAGCTTTGCGTATCTGTGGGCAGCCTTATCTTCCAAGTATACTGGTAAATAACGTACCCGTTGTTGAGGCAATAAATTATTGAAGAAGAAAATATTCTAGCCCTAATACATGCATGAATTTCTCTGGCGAATATTTCAGTCAAAAGTATAACTTCTAAACATTAAAACAATCGAATCACGTCCATGGAAAGTACGTCCTCCATGTTTCGCCGCTATATATTGGCGAAATGGAACCATTTGTTATGATGTCTCTCCAACTAGCTGGAGCTAACCATTGAATCAGAAGCGCAATGTTTACGAGGAATCCCAAAGCTTTCTTGTTATTGTTTGGATGTTTACTCCAGACCTACTTTTCACTTGGAAAACAAGGAAGAACTAAAGAACTAATACTTCGAGGAACAAAGTCCGATGGATCTCAAAAAAGTACCATGAAAATGAGTATCAGCCAAAACAGGATTCAAGAGAAATATGCTGGCAAGTTATTCGGCCGTAAAAATACTGCGAAAATGGAAATTCATCGATCTGTAATAGGACTGCACCGGAATAAAATCATACACGGAAGGTCCCATAATGGGAGGCTTATGGAAGGAATAGGAAGACGACAAGTAGGTTACAGAGTTTTCTGACTGTGATAAGCCTCGCTAAATTTTCCGCCAGTCTTCAGGGCTTTACTTCCGATCACCGATTCGCTAACTCAGAAAAAAAAACTATCGAGAAAGGAGAAGAACATGCAAGGCGCTCTCAGCTTTGTGGGAAAAGGCCATCTTCAACCTATTTTTTTTTCAACAATATAAATTATGAGCTCGAGATTTCTATCACGTGATAGTCAGTGAGGGCGAGGCGCGAATCAACCATCGTGCATAAAAATCGTGAGCTAATAATTTAATCGTTCTTATAATAAATCTACTAGTATTTGTTTAAAATTAAGCAACAAGATAGGCTAATACTTTCATTTCATTTCTTTCACCGACAAAAGTACAATGTTAGGTCACTCACCCTTCTCACTGTCTATCACGGAATAGAAAGCGTACGTAGCCAATTAGATGCAAACAATTTCATAAAACGCCAGTAGATTTACACTAATACCTAAAAGCTAAACGCAGAGACGGATTTTAGAGTCTTAAGTGTTAAACCTTAGAGCTTTAGAAATTCTTTTATTTTGAGGGGAGATACTTAGTGATAATCTTACTACTTGGTGTCGTATTCTAGATGATAGCGCCTGGATATTACCAAGCTGAGTGTTCTGAGAAAAAGCCTTGCAAAGAGGGAATGTACTGTAACGTGCTCTACTGTGAAAAATGTCATAAACTTAACGTAGGCTGCAACAGCAAGGACCAGTGTTGTAAGGGATTGGTCTGTACTTTTGGAAGATGTGAGAAGAAGGCAGAAGGGGATCCAGGTGAGGCAATCAAATATTTCGAAAGATCTCTCCATCCTTTTTTGGTGTTTTTGACAATCTTGCGAGCTCATGACAACGTGTGCTTTTTGCAACTGGTGGTCATATCGTTTGTAGTGCTGACCTGGTGCTTGCTATGACCATTATCTAAAAAAGCTACAAATATAAAGTAAATAAATCTTATTAGACATTTTGGTGTGTAGTAACGCTAAGTATTTTTACGAGTTGTACCCTATTTTGACGAGCCTGTAAGGCAAGTCAAAATACAAACAACTCGTAAAAATACAGAGCGATACTGCACACCAAAACGTCTACTAAGTTTTCATTATCCAATGGCTTTTTTCTGCTAAGTCTTTCTGCTCATTTCTCATGAGGCGGGAAAAGCAAAGCAGATAGAGAAGCGTAGCGCGCGAAGCCGACTGGTTAAACATGTTTTTTTACATTATAAAATAACCAAGTGGCCAAATAACCGTACAATATCGCATGATATCTGTACTCTATTCGCACGTTATTTGCACTCTACTTTGTACCGTTGGACGATCTGACCTTCCTCAGTAACAACTGCAAAGATCACAACAGTTGCTGATTCAAACTCGATCAGAAATACCCCAATGGTTACCTATAAATATGCGGATCGTCATTTGCTCTGAATGCTTATATGTGAAGCGCTTAGCGTCCTGCACGCTTCACTACAAGAACTTTCAAGCCGACCTCTGTCTATGCCATCGACTGCACCAAAGGACGAGAAGTTATCGAAGGAGCCTCTTATTCGGTTGGTCACTCACAGAAAACTTCGGATATCCTTTCTTTGGAAATAAACTTTGGGGAACGTTTTTGTATGAATGTGTATATCATTGTTATAATTACCATCCTAATTGCTGTCCCTCGAGGTAGTCTACTGGAATTAAAGACTATAGCAATCAAAGTGTCTTTTTCCCCCTAATATTATATTTTACGTTTTGAGATGTTGATTTCAGGCACATTCTGTGAGAAGGACAGCGATTGTAAAGAGGCGTGTTGCGTTTTGGAACCAACAATCAACTCCCACTTGCCGATATGTAAACCAACCTTGGAGGAGTACCATCAGTGCGCGGCCATTTTGTATCGAAAAATATGGGTAGGAGAAAAGCCTGACTGTGGACCGTGTAAGCCTGGGCTCGAATGCGCTCAAAAAGGGTGAGTGCAATAAATTAAACCAATATAATAATAATGAATAACAATGATGACGATCAGAAATGATTTAACTTGGTAACTGATAGCGATAAGAATAACAGAAAAATTAACGAGAGGAGAAACTCTCCCTAAATAATTTTTAAGGTCATTACGGGTTTATCCATAGTAACCAAAATTGATTTTAAATGGCTGAATTAATCATTATTTCTCTTTGTTAAACAGTGTGTTTGGAAGTCATGAAGTGTGTATGAAGCCAGACTAAGTGATCATCAAGTTCAGGAGACTACTTAACGTTTGTCTGAAGAAACTTGCTCGGTAAAGTCTACTTCGTCCCAGAACAGAATCAGTTACTCAGTGCTCTGAGTAGGTACCGTGAGGAGGAGACTTCAACTAAGCGTCAGCTGGTTATTTGTCTCTCATTTCCTTAGTTGAAAGTGAATACATTTCATAAGAAAATAAACTTTTTTTAGACACTGACTTCAAGCATGATCGCTGTCCAGCTTCATCAATTTTATTCTCCAAATACTTCTACGTAAACATTACAAATTATTCTTCCATTTACAGACTTTTAAAAGCTCGTTGTCAGATTTCTCTTCTGTTAAGTAGCTACGTCGGTGGGGGTATAACAAGATAATTTGGTAATATCAGCTGTGTTAATAATGTAAATTGGCCACCCTAAAGAGTTTCTAAATCGAGCTGACGTTTTGAGCGTTAGCCCTTCGTCAGAGCATATAGAAAAATCGTTAGATATTTGTGATTTATACTCTATGCAGAAAATGGAGCTAGGCTATTGGTGGGAACATGGTAACGAGAAGAACAGAAATAAATTGGTTGAATGAAAAGCGTTCATTGATACTCGTGGGTAGTGCCGATTTCAAAGATAAGTTTTTGATCTGGAGTTTTGCGGCTTTCCAAACGCCTAGATAGAGGCAAAGGCCGTAGACTGTGATATCCTGCTTAGAATGATTTGGTAGATTAAAATGTGTAGCGACTCCTTTCTACGCGGCAAAGTTGTTCTCGGAATCGATCGCTTATGTTGCCTTCCAGTTTCACAGATGTGTACCTTACATTCAGTTGTAAGAGCTTTAAGTTCTGGCAAGAGATTATTAAGATTATTTATAATCTTTTCGGCAAAATAATGTTTTTCACGACACGACATGTACAATGAAATTAGCTTTTCCTGTAAGAAAACAGTTATTTGGTTCCAGGGGTCTGTCAAATTTATTGCTCAGCTGGTGGTCGTCTTGCTTTTTACATTAGTGACATTTTAAAATTCATTATTTGCTTCACTGCAAATGAAGTTTCTTGGATGTCAACTCCCCATCACTGCTTACCTTAAAGCCAACAGTTGTTACATTGAAGCTCAGAAAGATGTCATGTCAGGCGTTTTCCATTCCAAATTTCCCACACTTAGTAGTTCCAATTCCGCCAACTGCTTGTCCCAGTTAATGAAATCACGAGTATTAGGTTTTACACTTGGTATTCTCCAAGCAGATTTATTCTCTAATGTTTCCTCCTGTTACTTTTCTTTGTATTGTATATCTTTTCCTAACTTATAGGGCATAATATAAAGTCATCGTAATTTGCTGTGTAGACATTGTAAAATGGACCATAAACAATCTGGTACTTGTGCTCTCGTTGACGTGGGCATTTGTATGAGAATTGTATTTTTCCCTTCTATGCCCCATATAAGGAATACCAATAGGACTAGGAAACCTTAACTTGCATCTTCAATAACACAATTGAGCATCCTTTCTCGGACTGCATCTCCAAGGTCCTCCGGTCCGACTTTTTTAGCCTGGTAAACAGGGTATTTCCATAGCCCACATTTGTCCAAAGCCCTCCAGTACGTCTTGTAATCTTTTCTACGTCGCACGTGATTTTGAAAATGAGCTTCCCGATAGCCAAGGTATTCGCGACTGTTGGTCGTTACACATGGCGTTTGCCGACAGTAAATACTCATTTCGACCTCGTCCCCTCTTGCATCAGCTATTGTGGAGACAAAGTAAGATAGTTGTTAAAGCGAAAGCGCAACTAAACGGTCGTGAAATCTGATATGATCATGAGGGGACGCAAATCGTCTGCACTGTAAGTACATATCAAGCTCCGCAAGAAGAGGGAAATAGTTGAACACTTACAGTACAGACGATTTGCGTCCCCTCATGGTACAACCGGTCTTTCCGCCTTCATTTTATTTTGGACCATTTTACGTACATTTTTCATGTTTTATTGACACGTTTGCCTCATGTGTAGCATAAAATGTCGCAACAAATATAACCTGTAGTTCTAAAGAAAAAACTCCTTTCAAAACATTCTTAGGCAGGATAAAACGTTTCGTAGGTGTTACGCAAGGCTGCATTTTGGAAAAAGGAGGCATGAAAAAGAAGCAGTCTAAGACGTGAACTGTCGCATCATAGGAAAAAACTGTGGTTTCCAAGTGTATTCTAACTAGAATTACCTAGCTCGGAAAAAAAATCTGCTACTGGGAAATGATAGCTTTAGGCGAGTGTTTCAAGCTTGGTGGTGCATTATCACAGTGATTATAAGTAAAACTGTTATCTTTATCTTCCCAAAGTATTGTTCTAAAGGTCAAAGATCATTCAGTATTGTTGTATTCACATCATACTTAGATAAAAAACAAAACAAAACAATAAAAAACAGAAATCGCACGATTTGTAGAAAAAGCCCATACAGATTATTAGTTTGGCATCATCGACGCCTGGACATGTTGAAGTGAATCGGTGGCGGTTCATTTGAGCGCTCCAGAACTTCTCCTGCAACGGTCACTCTGCTTTTTTTTCTTTCGCTTGGTTGGCTGCAGTTCAAGCTGTTTTGGAGTTCTGTATGCCACAACGGTAGATTGACAAATTATCTAGAGGTACCTTAGGCACCTTTCGTTGTATTGCGCGCCTTCGGTAGCCGCTGACCAATAGCAAGGGCAATTGTTCTTGCTATTGGTCAGCGGCTACCGCCTTTAATAGGAGACTACAAAATAGCGGCAAGGAAGTGAAAAAGTCAAGCTCGAGGTTTTGCTGCCACTGTATTTGAAAATGAAACTTAAAAGCTTTGCAGTTTTTTTAGCGATTGGCTTTTCGATTGCTTTTGTTTCTACGGTGGTTTATTTGATATCATCTGAAAGGGATCGCAGGAAAAAGGTGCGTTGTAAAAGTGTCTACTGTTTGTTTTGGACGGGGGGTGTGTGATGTCTTGCGGGATTTATCGTGCTTTCACTGTTGGTCATTTTGTTTGGCTACTGCCTGTTCGCGTGTTTGTGGTCACTTGAGAATATGTATCTATACCACTGCTGAATGTCAAAATCTCAGTACTCCTTGATCATCAGTGCATTTCCTACTAATAGATATGAAACTTACTCACGGATTTCTCTTTCACTGTAAGATTACTTCCGGGGCACACAGGAACAAATTACATATTATCATTTTTCACCTTTATTATGCCATTTCTTGGTAATTCTGGATTTTATTACTATTAATGCTTTTCTTTCAGAATGAAGAAGATGATTACGATCGAGAAACTCTAAACTTCCCATTTTTACAAGATGCCAAAACCATTGAGTTTATTATGAATTCTAAAACCATGTTCATAATGAGAGGTTTACCTGGAAGTGGAAAATCAGAAATAGCACGAAATATAAAGCAGGTGTATGGTGATATGGCTGTGATCTGCTCAGCAGATGACTTAAGGTTGAATGAACAAGGGGAATATATTTGGAAGATGGAGGAATATGAGGAAACACACTTAAAATGTAACAAAAAAGCAAGCAGAACCTGTGAAGATGGGATTCCGGTGGTTGTTATAGGTAAGTGTTGAGGATAGGAATAAGATCATGTCATGAAATTCACTTGTAGCAGGGTGTGAAATTGCCCCCAGTACACTGGCACCAATGCGACTAAATTTTTCACTCTGGCAACCAAATCCTGAAAATTAGTCGCCAAATTGGTGACTAGAATGCTTCATCATAACCTTACTTAAAGATAAAGTGAATTAAATTGGACATCCTAATGTCCAATTTGTAGCACGTTAAAGATCTTTTTCCTAACTTAATTTTGGAGGGTCTATCTAGAACGCTGACAGTGTTAAAAAACAAGGTTTTATTTGTCTTTAAAAATGGTGACCAACTTTTTTTGAATTGGCTACCACTTTGAAAAATTTAGGAGCCAAATGGCTATCAGAAAAAAAAATTAATTTTACGCCCTGTGTAGGAAGAACTGTAACGCATGGAATAATGAGATGAGTCATTAATTGAGAGCAACTTCTCCATGTTGAAGTTTATTTTAGAGGTATTAAGGTTAAATGTTAAACCTCCTTCCCCCATATTAACTTCTTTTGAGTCCTTAGAAGAGGTTATTCAACTGTTTGGGGGACAGAAGAGGTTCTGTTGTTCTAGTAAAAGATTTTTTAATTTTTTCAGTTCTAGACTAGTTCTTTTGAAATTTTGGATTTTCGCAAACTTATCGACCCCTTAGCAGTCAAAATATAAGACTGCAAAAGGAAGGCAAAGACAAGGAACTTTAAAGCATCTTTAAACATTTTTATAGGAAAGGCATTTGATAAGATCCTCAAGAATTTGATGAAGATCCTCAAGTATCCCTTCAAGATCCTTGAAAAGATCCTAGAAAAGTTCTTTGCAAGGGATCCCATCTTGAAAGTAAAAATGAGGATATTTCAAAGATCTTTAAAGGATCCTTTCAAGAATTTTTTACTAAGATCTTTGCTGGGATCCACATGGATTTTATCAGGATCCTACAAAGATCCTTGTAAAGACCTTTTTTTTTTAGTCATGATATATTATTTCCGCAATTTTAAAAAAGTGTTGACTGATCTTTATTATAAAGAATGTTCAAAAAAATCCTTAAATATTTTCAGCAAAATGCTATAGTTTCCCTTGCAACATCCTAAATGGTCCTGAAAGATTGTTGAGGATTTTGAAAGAACTAAAAAGTTCTTTGGTAGTTTGTTAAAGGTCTTGGAAGAATTGTAAAGAAATATGAAGATGTTCGAAAGAATGTCGAAGAGCATAAAATATATTGGTAAGAATTTGAAAGATTCTAAACAATCTTTGCAGGAATATTGAAGATCTTAACAAGAAATGTGACAATACTCAAGATCTAAGCAAGATCTTGAAGGATCTTCTAATTTATTGTTAAGATCTTCAAGAATCTTTTGTTTTATTGCTAAGATCAGTATAGGGATATTTGAAATTCTTAGCAAGATCTTTTGAAGATTCTTGAAGATCTGGATCTTTCATTTTCCTGCCAAGATCAGGAAAAATGAAAGATCCTTTAAGATCTTGGTAAGAAAATGAAAAATCCATGAAGATCTTGGCAAGAAAATGAAAGATCCTTTAAGATCTCAAAAAGAATTTTGAAGATCCTCAAAGATTTTTTAAAGATCTTGAAGATCCTCAGTAGGATCCTCAAAGGTCCTCTGAAGATCTTTCAGGATTTTTATATATCCTTCATATTTAAAGGTTATGAATAGTATGTTGCATTTTTTAAACGGATCTTTAAAGAAACTTCATTTGGCAAGTTTGTTTAACAATTTTTATTTGCAATATATTGCAGATAACACAAATGTTGACTCCAGGAAGCTGTCCAAATACATCACCATTGCACATAATACTGGTTACCATGTGGTATTGGTGGAACCCAGAACATGGTGGAAATACAACATTACTGAACTAGTACTGAGGAACCAACACAGTGTAAATGAGGATACTCTGAGGGATCAAATGTCAAAGTTTAAGCAATTTTTTGCTGTATATTATGGATGGTTTCCATCAGAAGAGAAATTAAGGACTTTGAAAGACTACATGCTGCAGATTTTGAGAGACTGCATAGAAAAAATCCCTTCATTCAGAGATCAGCTTATCAAGGAGAAGTATGAAGATGCACAAGGCAAGGTTATTTATTTAGAATTTTTATAATTTGAACAGATAATTTTAATTTAATTTAAAAACATTTACCTCCTTTTAAGTAAAACATTCTTGAAAGTATTTTTATTGTACTTTGAGTATCAGTGAGTGACATACATGCAAATTCTTTAAGTTGTCAGGCTGGTTCATTTAATTACTGGAATCTAGGGATCTAAAAATTTTTTACTTGTTGATGTGTAATGTACCACTAACCTCCTCCCTTGTGGCAAGTATTTATTACATCTCATTTTTTTCTTTGCTCTGCACTTGTGACAAATGTCTAATGAGTTAGATCTTTCTTTACTTGATTACTGTGCTAGCAATCAACTGGTCATCTTTTTTTATCTATCCATGCTCACAAACAAAAGGCTTTAGAAGTTGTTGATATTGGAAGGGTGCAGAATGCTCGCAACTCGCATTACTGAACATCTGTGAACCCAGAATGTGGTAGAAGCTTAATACTAATGTGCTCAGTGAATGCTCAACTTGTCTTTTCAGATTTCTCAACAACTTTGACAGAAGTTACATGTGCTGCATTATCACTGTCATGTCTAGAAAAACAGCCTTATCGTCTCCATATAACATCTTTTTTTGACCAAGGAATATTTGGTCATAAATCAAGTGACTATGTATCTTTGTCTGCTGTGCAAGAAGCTCTTGGATCTGTAACAACATTGACAGTCATTGCATGGACAATCACACCAAGAGCTTTAACAGCAAGGGTCAAATTAAGCCCATCACAGTTAAAGTTGTGGAGAAACTTGGATTCAGGTGCCTCAGGAGAGGAAGGACATAACTTCAGATTCAAAGTAAATGCATATGAATTTTTAGTTGTTTTCCTAATAGCCCTTTTCCAATTGAAATTACCCTTAGCCTTGTTTGTTTTCGTTCTAAAGTAGAATTCCAACCATTACAAATTGAATTTAATGCATAGTAAGATATATGAGTGTTGAAAGTAATCTGGTATTGCATTGGTTTTGCTTTACTTTGCTCTGTGATTGGTTCAGAAAAACTTGCAGCACTCTCTTAACCGATCAAATGCAAAACTAACACCAATCATGACTTGGTTACCCTCACTTTAGGCAGTTTTTTTGTATTTACTTTAAGTTCTCATTGGCTCTTCAGAGTTTTAACCCTTCTTCTGATTGGCTATTGTAATTACTTTCAATTGGTTTTGGTTTTACGACACTCAATCCAAAAGTGCTCTTTGATGTTCAGATGATGAATGTGCTACACTCAGCAGAAGCATTTCAGCTGACTCAATCTGGTCATTCATTTTGCAAATTAAAGAATTTGCATGCCATACACATCATTTATCAAAATATGATTTGTTACTTAACTTACAATTGCCACTTGCTTTTCCATCAATTTGTTGACATTAACTTCTTGTAAATGACACCCTTTTGACAAGAGAATGCTTCATATAGATCCTTTAGCTCCCAAGATCTCAATAATTAATTATTGGATGGGGTTAAGCATGATATCATAAATTATCAACGCCGAGGTCTGAGTTACCTACTGAAGCTTAGGCTGAGGCAGATAACATGGACATGAGGTTTGATAATTCATGATATTATGTGAAAACAGAATTCAATAATTATTTTATTATACATTATTGAAACTAATGGACAAGGGGCTTGGAAACTAGGTTTACTGATAACCTAATATCTTCACACACTTTTGTATATTGACTATATGCTCTTGACCAACAAGGGTTTTCATAGTAAGTCTTATGTATAATTCTAAATTTCTTACTTATCTGGCTCAGGGAATTGATTGTTCTATTGGTTGACATATTTGCTTAGAGTGATATATTCCTTCCATCATATTGCCTTACTGCTCAGCGAGATTTTGATATTGTCAGGAGAACTTTTCAGACCTCACTCCAAGAAGTGAAAGGATCAAGAGAGAATTATCAGCATGGCCCTGTTAAAACATAGACTTTGTGTGTCACTTTTGTACCATGACTTAGTCTCCTACCTGGGAGTGGTCTGTTTTTACCTAAATAGAAACTCCAGATATTGAAGGCAACCAAAAATGTGCCTCCCCATAGTTTTACTTTCCGTATAGTTTTTAATTTCCTTTCCACCATAAAATTTTTCAGGAAGCTGCAGCCTGTGTATCTGATACCGAAAGATCTGCCTTTATTCCTGTTTCATATGCTAACCTGGCTGTCAAACCAACAGTTGGTGTTGGAGACACAGCCCACATCACTCTCTCCTTGCAGAGAGACACAAGGCCTCTTCAAGGGCGACATGACATGTGTGAGCTTGTTAGGCTGGAAATGGCCAATCAGGGTTACTTGGAGTATGCAGTCACTAAGGGTCTGGCCCGTGACTATGGCGATGGACATTGGGCTGTCTATTTAAACGAACCTATTTACATTGATGCACTTTTCACAGGGTTTTATGGTTTCTGATCTTGTCTAAGAATCCTTTAATGCTTTAATTCCACTGATTCACAACTGCGGTACCATGGGTCTTGCCCTAAATTGAACCAAAACTGATTCCCTTTGGGTTTGCTCAACGCAATCATTGTATTATCTTAAATAACTCTAAACAGGGATATGAACTCTTAAATGCTGCAAATTCAAGGTGATTTTTTCCTGTAGGTTATGTTGTTTACAGATTTACCTTTAACAAGTTGAAACTCTCTTCCAGAATGTAACATAATGCTCTTTTGAGATCATTCGTTTTGTTTTTTAGCGGCGCGAGCGTGTGGGAAAAATTTTACCCCTCATTGGTTGTAAATTCAGTCGTTTCTTCCAATCCTCTTACTATACTCATACTCTTGATTACCCGCACATCTAATGATTCCCTCTGACGATCCGAGATAATGGGGGTTCATTTATTTTTTTACCTTTTTTTTCGCTAACTACCAAAAAAGAAGAAGAGGAGCAACAAGAAATGGACGTATTTGATACATTATTTTGATACAGTGAACAGAAATCACTTTATTTATTGTTAGAAAAAGAAGCTAAAATAATTCATCAAAAGATTAATCACATAATAGGTAATAAAAGTGAGAGTTAAACCTTCTTTTGCCATCGCCATGTCTCTCTCTCTGGTTTTTTTTTTTCACTTCCTTCTTTTCCTTTTTCGTTTCCTTTTACTTTACGCCCCCGCCAATAGAAGGTTTGTTTGCAAATTCAAATCTAATTATGAGAATACATTCTTTCGCTTGCCGGCCCTGTTGAAAAACGCATTCATTCGTAAGTTATAAAGTCAAGGTTCGTTTTGTTATTTGTATATATCGAATTTTCAGTCAGTAAGAAAAACCTTAATTGTCACTCCTCGCCCTATTTTTACATTGATCTGCGATTAGGCATACTTTTTCAAAGAAGACGGGAACTGGGCTGGCAGAGTAAAGGATGCCAAACAGGAAAATACGATTCCTTCTTACTTTTTCTGCGGCCTTCGGCACTTGGCGGTCCATAGCGACCTGTCGTGCATTTGTACTCTAGTGTCTGCCACAGCAAAAAATTAACATGTTTATTTAAAAATTAGTCATACAATAAATATTAAATTATTATAAAGTACCATGATATCGTGCTATTTAAAAAGTCAGTGATCAATTTACTTTTCAGGCAAAATTTAAAAGTAGAAATCGATTTTGCAGTTTTAATCAGGAGTATTGCCTAGGTTGCTACAGATGTGCACTGTGCAGTCGTAAAATGTTCTCTGTCCGGCACTCGAGTTATACAAGGGGATGTTTAATAGTTGATCAGCTAGGGTAATACGCCGGGTTACCGCAATTCTTGTCATGAATGATCACTGAGGAAAAGGGGTGGTTGACCTGACATTCATTAAATGCCATAACAGCGGCGCGGAAGAACGGTTATTCTTTAATTGGAAACCACGGTAAATCTGTTAGTGCGGGGTTATTTGATCAAACCCCCTGGTTCGTGAAATAATGCGCGTGGCAAAGTTCTTGTTTGTAGTCTACAGATATTTTTGTACGAAATGAATCATTAAAGGTCTTGGAGAAGTTGACGCCAGGTTAACAGCCAGAGAAAAACAATTGTAACATTTGAATACATAACATATCTGGGATCACACAGTTTACCATAATTTTATCTACTGGGGTAATCTTGAGGATTAACGGAAAAGTAACTGAAAGTGAAATTCATTAATACACTCTTCTCTGTGGTACTGAGAAATACAGGCAGTTGTGGGATGAGAGCTCAGCCAAAAGACGGCAAAATGGCCTGAAATCGCTACCAGAGAACGAAAATAGAACAAATAAAACTATCGTAAGGTTAGAGTTTATTTACTCTATCATTCACGGAATAGAGCCTAAACTCTCTTACAAAACTTGATAACATTATCCCATCATGGAAAGCTTGGGCTTCCCGTGCGCTTTCTTGTCGTTTTTCGCGCCCCCGCATTTTCGTTCTGACAACGATTAAATATGCTGTCACCAGTAAACAGCGAAATTCACTCATGATCACTATCAAATTGTCGTACTGGGCATTTCAGATCATTCCATATGTCGCTGGTTTCACTTGTCTTTACTGTCTCCCTCCTATCCCCGATTATAAGTACCAAAAATAGCATAGCTTATCTTCGTAATTATTTTGCATATTTCCGATGAGTACCGATGATCTCCGAATCTCCGTGCCGAAAGTAAATAGACAACAAACAAGATGGCGGGTTATGGACCACCGCCAGGACCTTATGTAGGCTTTCAGCCGAGCGTTCAGCCTATAGGATTTGAATTGCACCAACAGCCAGGCCATCCACCTTATGATAACGGACCTGGCTATCCAAACCCACCTTCGCAGGACATCTATCGTCCCACCACAAATGAGTACGCAAGCTACCCAAATCTTGCCAACCCATCTTACCATCACCACGGTGGTGGCGATTCCGATAACCTTCCACCTGTTGGCTTTGAAGGGATTTCTAAGCGCCAAGATCCTGACGTTGCGACAGCGTCAGGTATCCAAATCCATGAAAAGTCCAAGGAGAGTCCTGTACATCCACCAGATTACAATGAGCCACTCGAGAGAGCCTCCCATCGCGTACCGTCAAGTTCAGATGTAGAGGTTCGTACTTAATATGCGATTGTACTTTTATCTTATTAACAAAGAGCTTTATCAACTTGTGTATGCTGCTTTGTTGGGCTGATACCAAGCGGCCCTACGTTTGGTCTTGTTTTGTGTTCGTAAGAATTTTGTAAGAAAGTTTTCGTTATCGATCTTCAGGTGTTTCTTGTTTCTTGATCTTCAATTTATTTCAGCCAAATTAGATTTGTCTAATATTCTTAAGAATTGATCAGTGTACTTTTGGCTTTAATGAAATTTAAGTCGCCGAGCCTTTTCCGTTCAGCATCTCCAGAAGCGGCCGTATTTCCGCCGAGCATAGGAATCTCAACTGTTATATTAGTTAAGGGCTTGGAATTTGAAATTTGTTTGATTGACTTTTTGGAACCTGGCCACTAACTTTAATTTTCAATCCATGTAGAAATTAACTGAGTGTCATTCAACATGCTTTTTCAACATGTGTTTCTTGTTTCTCGTTTATTGATCTTCAATTTATTTCAGCCTAATTAGATTTGTTTAATATTCTGAGGAATTGATCAGTGTACTTTTGGCTTTAATGAAATTTAAGTTGCCGAGCTTTTTTCGTTCAGAATCTCCAGAAGCGGCTGTGTTTTCGCCGAGCATAGGAATCTCAACTGTTATATTAGTTAAGGGCTTGGAATTTGAAATTTGTTCGACTGACGTTTTGGAACCCGGCCACTAACTTTAATTTTCAATCCATGTAGAAAATAACTAAGTGTCGTTCAACATGCTTACATGAAATGACCTCTCCAGTGTTAAAAGATTTGTTGATCTTTTATTTCTGGAACAGTTTTTGACAACTTGATATTTGTCAATGGCAACAAAATTCAATAACAAGAGGATCGGGATCGTTTTCATCACTGCTCAGTTTATGATCGGAGGAACTGCCTTTTATTGTACTCTGTTTGATTCCCTTCTAGAAAAATTGGCGACCAATATGCAAATAAGTGGTTCGGTGAGAAATAATCTTAACCCCTCTTTTCAGATAATTGAGGCAATCTGGTTGATCATATTTTGAAACAAGCTTTCAAATGATGATAAATGCTCTTGAACATGTAACTCGATACACACTAATTCTTAGGACATGTAATTTGTAGTTTGAAGTGCATATTAAGAAGTTTTATTTCATTAACAGATAAAGCGGTATTATGCATCACTTTTGTGTTGGGAATAACTTTTAATTAATTTCAGTTGTGGCAACAAGGGGTTTCCCTACTATATTTTAGAATGACCTGCTTAAGTGTGATTTCTCTGTCTTTATGGTCTGTTATTTTCTTTAGCTCTCTACTAATGAGTGATTATTATTCAGTTATTTTTACTGAGCATAGTACTTGAAAGTGTACTTTTTGATGCATGGTAAAGAATTTGTTTTGCAAACGTAGGTCTGACAGATGAACCAGTATTGTTAGTGGCATAGCATTAAGCAGTCAGTTGTGCAGAATTTGTTACCCCTCAATTGCTATAGTTTTCACCTCTTTTAAGTGCTCATCACTGTTTAGTGGTTGATGAGTCACCTTTGAGGGAGTCACAATGGGCTGTTTGTATTGTCTTCCACCTGTATTGAATGATCACTGAAATCAGAACCACTCAAAGAAAACTTAAAACAATCATTAAAATAAAATTTGATCAATGTTTTACCCCCAAAATCATTGTCAGCAGTACTTTTAAGCAAGTTTTTGTGTGTTAAGTGGTCAATTATGGCACAAGATGTGGTGTTTATAATTTTTTTTGTATTACCCCTATTCTGTGGAACTGTATCAACCCTTTACTCCCTAGCATCAGTATCCATATTCTCCATACTATTCACTATACATTTCCCAAGGTGCTGACAAAGAGAATTTGTTTAATAATCAAGAGCTGCCCCAGTTGGTGATCATTTCCTCTATTCCCATGACCTCAATGTTTGACGCAAGCATGATATTGTAAGGAGAAATTAGATGCTAGTTATTACGGGTTAAAAGGTTAAGCAGTCAACCTGTATCAAGTGGTCACCCTGCCCATGGGTGACCACATAATACATGTTTGACTGTATACAGCTCATTCAGTTATTGGAAGTCTATTTCCAAATAAGATATTGAAGATGGAAAGATGAGAAATTATTAAACTCTTCTCCCCTCTCCCCCCATTTTTATAAATATTACTTATGAACCCTTTCACTCCCATGAGTGACCAAGACAGAATTTCTCCTTACGATATCAATACAATATCAACCAGATAAGTGATGAGAATAAAGAAAAATATCAATTTGGGGATAATCAGTGGATCCAATATTAAGTTCTCTGAACTAACATTATAAGAATTGTATGGTTGACAGTAAGGAGAAGTACAGATTTGATTTACAAGTTAAAGGGTTAATAATAAACATATGGAATCTGTTGCACACAGGCCTGTCTGTGTTGAACATTTCTTTTCTATATCTTGATATTTACTTGAAACTATCAGTTAAAATAAAAAAGCAACAACATAAATAAATAAATCATTGTGTTCTGTTGTCATATATTAGTTCGAGTAGGTATATGACTGGTGATTGTGTGGATACAAAAGGAGAAAGAAACTAGAAAGATCATTGCTAGCCCTAAGTTTGCAATATGTCTATGTTAACTGTATGAATAAATTATAAGTTTGGACTGCAATCAACTAGGTGACACGTTATACCTCACAATATGGTATTGGAAACATCTGTTTACAACCAAGCGATTAAATTGTCATGGCAATCTTTCCTGATGCTTTGTTATTCAAATTTGAAAAGATCTGTCTTTGGTTCTTGTGATTGTGATGAATGATGTGTCTGCAAAGTGTTTAACAATAGTGAGAAGAAGTTCTTTGAAAATTTTCCTTTATTTTAAGGCTGTTTAAGGGGTATAATATACCTCATAAAAATACATTTTTATGATTGTTATATATTTTGCATAGATGTAGACTGTACACTTAAACAAATGAAAGGTAGAAGTTTTTTTGTCAGTAATAGATGGAAATGTAAAGATCTTTCTAATTCAGTATTCGGGTCTGACTTCAGATGAATTCTTGTGAATTTGTGGCTTGTGAAAACCAGATGGGAAAATCCACAACATTTAATGTACCAAGAACTGTAAGCTTGTTTTCTGTTAGTTAATCTGAGATCTGATCCTTTTTGTGTGATTAATACATCAATGTATAAGGTTCTCATAAGTGTAGATTGTTTGTGATTGTTTAAGATCATTTGACTGGACTCTAAAATTTATTGCCTGCCTTGATAAAGTTCTTGAAGGCTTGAATGATTGTTTTTATATGTTAATTTTCATAGGTTGCTCTGAATTTCAAGCCTTAAAACTTTCATCAAATAAAGTTTTCCCATAATTTGACAAGCTCCATAAAATGTCCTGCCTTGATTGCCTGTGTGACTATTTTTTCTCTGACTTCCTATGTTTATTTTAAGTGGTATTTGTCAAACTTAGCTTATCAATATAAGATTTATCCTGAATTTGAAATAAACAACATTAAATATCTTATAATAATAGAATATTAACTGTGACTTGAACAACCTCGGACACAGGATTTCAGAACAATGCAAGAAGTCACTGTTTACTTATTTTTGTTGTTGTTTTTTTTTTTCAGAGAGGGAAGGATTCTGATACGCTGTTCTTTAAGGATGGGAAGAGAAGAGTTGGTGAGTGTACAGTGCACTTTAAATTAATTAGTTAACTTAAACAATTCCTTCAAATAATACTAATAGCATAATTTATTTAGAGGTTATTCTTGATGATAGTCCAATAGCAGAAAATATTTTACTGATTTACAGTATATGTACTGTACAATGTCATGTAGTTGGAATCTATGCTTTTAGAAGTTTTGATCATGACTTTGGTGTTCATTTTATGTGCTCACTCACCTAAAAATTCTAGAAATATAGTGTAAAAAAGAGAGCTTGAGTTTTTGTGGTGACCATTAACCCTTTAAGTCCCACTAAAATGACCTTGACAGAATTTCTCCTTACACTATCAGTACAATATCAAGCAGACCAGTAATGAGAATAAAGAAACACAATTAGGGTATTACTGGTTGATCTATTTCCAAATTCTCCAAACTATTATCATATGAATCATATGGTAGACAGTAAGAAGAATTACTGATTAAATTTTGGGAGTTATTAATTAAAGGGTCAACAATGTGTCACTGACGCTCACCTTAGTACACATGTGTTACTGACCTTTAAATTTTTCACTGTGACAGTATAGAATGCCTATACAAAATAGTGAGCAACATTGAAAGATTAGCTGTCTTTTGAAAAAAAATTACACTTTTTCACATTTATCTCTGTATAGATTACATTCTGGCGTATGAAATTGATACAACCAAAGACAGGGAGTGGCAACAAAAAAGAGAAGAGAAACGAATTACATTTGAGCAGAATCTGGAAAGGGCTAATTTAGAATTGGAAGCAGAAGGCATTGAGGTACATTTCATTTTGTTAATTCACAACATTTCATTAACCTATTGATTCAGTTATTTTCCAAATTATTTCTCAATTCTTAAGGATCCATAGGTCAAAGATAGTGCTGCAGTACTTAATAATGTCACAACCTGTTTAAGTGGAGGGTAATGATTTATAATTAATAGAGACATGTCACTTCAGTGATCTTTTTTATGTTGAATTTTCAAGTATTCCAAGGGAATTTTAGGCAGTAATAAGCAGTTGTACAGGAGGTATATTTTATTAGTTACCACTTGAAAAAGAGAGAACTGTGACTTTTAAACCAGAATAAATCATTATGGTTTCAAATACTTCCATTTATGTTGAAGAAGTTATGACGCTTGTTAACTTGTTATTATCTGAGGCAATGAGAATGATGCTTTTTGTTGTGATTATTTTCTATAGTTGTCCCAATTTTTTTTATACCTTAAATTTTGCAAATTTGGGGTGAAAATGATAGAAACCCTTAATTAGTGTGCAGAAATCGATGACTTCCCAATTCTTCTTTTGATAATGCAGAAACTAAAAGCCTTTAACAAGGAACAAGGCCTTCAGATAAACACGTAATTAAACAGTTATGAGTGACCTTCCCCTATTAACATTGTGGATAAGTGCAGTTGGAAAAGTGCAATTGTTCCATGAAACTGTAATACATGTATGTGGACACTTGGATAATTTGCATCGTCATCCATGAGAGTGTTTCGTATCAGACCTGTCACAGACTGATTGACTATTTGCTTCTTTTTTTCCCACCTTTTAAAGTAGTTAAAAGCAATTGGATAATAAACAACTCTTTCTTATTTTGGTGTGGAGTTTCACTGAGTAATTCTACTTGTTGTTTATATTTTGACTTGACCTAAAGGCTCATCAAAATGCAGCACAACTTGTTAAAAAATAATACTTGGCAAATTAATACATAAAAGACTGAGTGTTAATTTTTCTTTATTAAAATTACTGTTTATTAGAAATCAAGTAATGGAAAGACAGCTTTTATCAAGATCCATGCACCTTGGAAAGTCCTCATCCAAGGTGCTGAGGAGATGCTCATGAAGATGCCTATCAGGGTATGAATACATTTATGGTGTTTTCTCACACAAATACTGGATCTTGATTAAAAGTCAGCTTTAGTAAAAACCATATTTAACAATATACTGTCAGTGGTGTTAAATATATTTGATGTGGGTCTCAGCCAGTGTATTTGCAGTCAAGGAACCACAAGAGAACACTTCTTAATGTTGGCAACCATTTTAATATCAATTCTTCATAAATATTGGCTGCACCAGGCCACGTTTTAAATTGAGAGGGGGTTTTCATCAAGAAAATAATTAAAAACCTTTACAGTATGACTTCCCCTTCAATGACATTAAAAGCAGCAAATTAACTTGTATGTACATGTAACTGACAAGTTCACAGGGACAATAATATCTTGATTGTTTGCTTATAATAAGGGGGCAATTACAGTACTGTAGGGAAATCTGCCAAAAACATTATTATAATAAAATTCTCAAAGAATGTGTAGAACAATCTTTCCCAAACACTGGACATTCTGAAACAGTAATATTATTTTATATCAGGATGAAAACTGTTGTCAATGTCCTTGAATTGGGGAAAAAATATGAATATTGATGCAATTTTAATGTTCAATTTTTCTGACTGTAGAGCATTTGGATGTCAGATTAATTTCTGCTGTGTTATTGATAGGTTACTACTTGCAACAGCAAGCAATTAATCATTGACAGAAGTTACTTGAAAGTGGTCTGTCAGTAATAAAAATTCTATGTACTTGACAGTTACCCCTTTAACTCCCAGATCAAATTTGTACTTTTCCTTACTGTCAACCATACAATTCTCATGATGTTAGTTCAGAGAATTTAGTATCGGATCAACCAATCATCCCCAAATTGATAGTTATCTTTATTCTCATCACTTATCTGGTTAAAATTGTATTGATATTGTAAGGAGAAATTCTTTCTTTGTCACTCATGGGAGTTAAAGGGTTAAGTGCTTGAAATGAACACAACCTTTTCTGGTGGTAGGAGAATGACTTGGACACAAGAGATTGGACTGAGAGATGTTTTGATACCATTGGAATGCGTAATCCATTTGAACTCAGAGCTGAAGATCTTCCAGAGCAGCCAAACTACTTCACTTGTGCCTTTAGAAAAGACAAACTTGACAGGTACGTTTTCTTTGTTAACTATCAGAGGATTAAAGTGTGATGGAGATCAGGAATACAGCATATGAACAATAGAGTAATACCCACAATATTGCAATAGATCATGGCTACAAATTAAAGAGCTTGTCAATTGAGTGGTGAATGTGCTGTAAGTATACATGTGTAAGGGCCTATTTACACTGTATGACTTTGTCACATGCGACAAGCTTATGACAGGCTTACGACATGAATTGTTTCGTGTAAATCAAACCTACAACTCGCTTACGACTCTTAAGTCATGTTGTAGGCCTGTCGTAAGCTTGTCGCATGCGACAAAGTCGTGCCGTGTAAATAGGCCTTAACAGTACTGTAAAAAGGATTTGTACACTTATGTTTTATGTTACAAATGGGAGTTGAAAGTTTGAATTATTTTTAATTTTGAATTGCTAGAAATCATTGCTGATACCGGTATGTATAGTTTAGGATGTGCAAATAATATGTTCTACTGATGTATAATTGAAAGCATATTAATTTCTTTCGGAGCATGTCTTTTAACAATAAGTTTATGTTTGAAACTGTAATAGGTAACTGGGGTTTGAATGATTAAGTTTCCATTAATCTTCTATGATTAATAATATATATTATTTTTATATTTTGAATTTGTAAATTAATGATGAAATTATTATATAATCAAATTTCTTTTTCATTATTCATAGGTTTCTTATTCCAGAAAACCAGGATGATTTCTTCACATGTGCTCAGCGGAGCAGAATTGTAAGTGATTCCTGTAACAGAGGATGTTTACTTTGAATTTAACTTTATCATGACAACATTACGAGTAATGATAGTTTTACAGTCATGTATGTCATGTAGTTCCTGCTATGGTAGATCTTTAACTCACTGAACATGCAATGACCAAATGATATATTCATCTTTTGCCTGATTTATAAATAGTGCACTCTGGTAACACATCTCAGACAGAGATGGCAAAACATAGAAGTACAGTAAATATTGATGTTCAATTGCATGCAGGTTCACAGAATTTTGACAAGAACACAGTATGGCGAGAAGAGGAATCAGATTGGTAAAAATGAAGCAATCTTAATCAAAACTATTAATACTTTATGTTAATGACTAGCATTAAAAATTTGGGGCCCTTTACATCAGGTAGAGAAATGTATTTTTGTCAGTCATTGAACAATAAGAATATTGCCTCCTACAGGGAATTTAAAGGTACATGTCAATTTTCTCTAACTGCAGAAAGACTCTTTGAAGTATTCTCTTTTGTATTACTTTTAATTATTGATGTCAGCTTATTAAACTGATTTTGCAGTATATCATGTATCACATTGACCACATTGTGTAAAGTGTGATCAGAAACTTATACTTACATAATGTAGCTGCATATCCTTGTCATTTATGCATCTCTGTAATATGATATTAGGCATTGGACGCTTAATTGGTAATGGATCTTACACTGCAGCTTATCCTTTACACGAGGTAAAAAATTAATTGCAAGTTTTGTTTTGTTTTGTTTTGTTTTTTGTCTTCAGTATAACAACTCCTTACTGTGAAACTTAAAAAGTGTCCAAGAAATTTACTATGGTATAAATTGATGGATCACTGTAATTTACAATAATTTCTCTAGGTTTAAAAAATGAGCAGTTCCTGAATGATACCTTTAGAAGAGCAGATTATAAGCTTTGAAACTTCTCAGAATTTAGAGAGACTGAAAACAGAGACTTGAAGGGCAGTGGTGAACAAATTTAAGGGCTCTCATATTTGTATATGATTATTAAGTTTAAGGGCCCAAGAAGGCTGACATACAGTTATATCATGCAAAACTTAAAATTAAAAACTTTGTCTCCTGTCAGGGATTAAAGGGACATGAAAAAGCCAAACAAAGTTATATAGGTCATGGTTCATTTTCTGTAAGTGCACTCCATCTGGTTGAATGATCCCATACAAGGGACTGGCCAGAGGAAAAGGAAACTACTGCATCAGTTTTCTCAGAGTGATTTGGAGTCTAATAATGATTTTTTCCTTGAATCAACAATTGTGTCAGGTTGCTTGAACAGGATTCAGCTAAATGTTGGCAAAGTTAGCCATGTGTTTTCTTGTCATTTATTTCAAAAATTTTGGAATAAAAATTCAATACAAAAAAGGAATAACATCAAACAACTACATGTCCATATGTTAAGTCAAATGAGAGTTGGACAATGGATGTCTTGATCCAGGGAACATTAAGCTTGTTGGACATGGGGAACTATTTGGACTGATACATGTACATTGTACATGTATATAATGGTAATAGGACTAAGAGGAGTCCAATTCAGGCTGTAATTATTCAAGTGATAAAAAAAATTGGATGATTGCACTGTGAAGGCATCCATTGTACCTTTTCATTAAAAAAAAACAACAGTTAAATGGGCAAAATGTGAGACAACAGCATGCACATGCGACACCTTCTGTGCACTTACACAGGCATGGTGTGTTAACTGCCCTATTACACTGTCCTATTAGTGCTCAAACTGAGCTGGAGAATTCAAGAATTTTTTTATAGTTTTGATCAATGGAACCAGGGATTTTTAATGGCAACAAAGCATAATTGTACTTCAGGCCAATTTTCAGGGTATACTTTTTGCTCATGACCATCAAAATAATTCAATCAGACTTGAACGCACACTACATGTACACAAATCATGTTGTCTTAATCATATCTAGGACAACTGTGTGATTGTCAGTTGCTCATAACACACACAAAAGTAATTTTTTAGCATTTTGAAACATGTTTTGTTACCTTCAAGTGTTGATGTTTCAAATTAAATAGTTGCATTTGATTTTTTTTTTGTACTGGAGAGAGGTAATAGAGATGGATTTGGCATATGATGAGCACACTGTAATTTATAATTACTTTATCAGGGAATTTGACATTTAGAGATCTAAACATTGCAAAAATTACCACAATAATACATGGAATAACTTGATACAGTACCATCATTTTTGTATTTTACAATGGTTGATGTAGGGCACTTATGAAATAGATCAATCCAATGATCCTCCAAGACCTGAAAATGCCAGACAGGTAATTTTTTTATTATTTTTTTAAAATAAATAGACCTCACGAGGTTACTTAGTTTTGTGTATGTTGTTTCCTGTTAAGTTTACAGTGTACATTGTGTATGTACAACTCGGACCTAATAAACTCCTAAACAAATCTTTGGTATGCAGTCATTTTGTACCCATGGTCGTTTTGTACTCAATCATTTTATACTCAGTTGATAATCAATGATAGTTTTATTTGTGGGTTGTTGCTATTTCAGTTGTTGTTTGACACCTGGGTTAAAGCACATCGCTGGTACAAAATGCAACCATTGGATCATATCAGGTAAAATCACTTACACAAGACGGTTTAACTCAAGGTGTGTGTGTCATTTTTTGTTGTTAATAATTGTTTTGGTTGATTATTCATTAATTTTGTTGCAGAGATTACTTTGGAGAGAAAATTGGAATCTACTTTGCTTGGTTAGGTAAATATAATTAATGACTTCAAATTTCATGTGCACTCATCTGATTGAAGTAAGTTATTGTTTCAGCTGTTTAATCATGGCTGGATATAATTTTTATTTTTGGAAGAACACATATTAAAGGCTATGACTGTATTCTAGTCAGCCAGTGAGACTCAAGGACATTGCACAATGCATGAAGTTTGGATGTCAATGAGGAAAACAGTGTCATCAAACAAATGTTACTCTCTTGACTGTTTGACAGGTTTCTACACATGGATGTTGCTCCCAGCAGCCATCATGGGCCTTGTTTGTGTGATTTATGGACTTGTCAGACTGGAGTCTTACATTCCTGTGTAAGTGATGAGTTTGGCAAGGCCTATATGTGCATTCTATCATATGCAAAGGCCTTATATTCGTATCAGCCGTGAAATGGGCTCATTGAGGACTGGGAATCTTAAAGTATTATTTAAAGTTGTCGTGAAATGGAACAAAAGAAAAATATACTGGGTGATACATTCACATGTGCTATTTTACATAACTTTCACTATAATGTGCATCCAGTGTTTACTATTACTGCCAGTGGTAAGCGTTAACAGTATTGCAATCACTGGTTTTATACTGAAAAAACGCAAGTCAGAGAACCAACTTTTTTTTATTTTTGTGTAAACGTGGCTTTCAGACAAGTAAAACCAACTGTATGTATGTATCTTTTGCTTTAGGAAAGACATCTGTGATACGTCTAAGAACTTTCCCATGTGCCCTCGCTGTGACAAACGCTGTCCATACTGGTCTTTATCAGACACATGCATCTATTCAAAGGTGACTTAAAGAACATTTTCACCTCTTGCTTCAAGTTCCTTCTTTTCTTCTTCCTCGACTTCTTTGCTAAACTTTTTTAAAGGTCGCTATTTGGCGACTTAACCAAATTTGTCATTCTCTTCACAGTCAACTATACAATTCTTATATTGTTTGTTCAGAGAATTTAGTATTGGAACAACTAATTATCCCCAAATTGATATTTTTCTTTATTATTATTACTTATCTGGTTGATATTATATTGATATTGTAAGGAAAAATTCTCTCTCGGTCACTCATGGGAGTTAAAGGGTTAAAATCACGAAATGTTTGCCAGAAATGGAGAAAGAAAGGAAGAAAGCAGAGAAAGAAATTTTGTGCAACATTGAATTTAAGCACCACAGTTTCTTCCTGCTGACCATGATGACCAAATGACCGCAGTGTGAGGCCCTGTGTCCCATTAATAATTGATGTAGCCCAAACCATGAATTTGGAGACAATTTATAATAATTAACACATTATTTTGCTCGGAAATATTCATCTTTGTAGTTCGTTTTTCAGAAGTTATCTATCTAGTTTTATCGTTTACTTGTACTAATGCCCTCTTTGATTCTCTTCAGGTGGCTTACGTTTTTGACAATGAGTTTACTGTGATTTTTGCCATTTTTATGTCGATTTGGGGTGAGACCTTTTTTTATTTTTAAGAATAATTGCTTGTGTAGTAAACTGTGTCAGACCGCGAGGCTCTATTGTTGACAGCTGTAAAGCTGTGTGTGGTCATTATATTGAGTTGTTGGGCGAGATGATTCACTCTGAGAATGCTTCTCTCCATCCGGGAGTATATACATATTGGCAACGCTGAATAGTCAAAGAAACTTGACAGAATGTTTGGGCAACTTGTACTGAACCATCCCGTTCAAGAGTTCAAAAAATAGCTAATGGATTGATTGCCGAACATCTCATAGATAGGACCATTTTGTCTGTGACTTTCACAGAAAGGAAACTTTGATTTTCTTTCAGGGTCGTAATGTTAATGAAATACTTTACTGATGATCATGTGTGTATTTGTTACACAGCCACCATGTTTCTTGAGTTTTGGAAGAGGCGGCAGGCAGAGATTGCTTACGAATGGGATCTATTGGGATATGAGGACGAAGAGGTACGATATTAATTAATCAATCAATGTATTTATTTATGACTTTTGTTAATTATTTGTAAGAAGGCAAAGATTAGGCTCGGCAAGGTAAGCTTATGCCGTTTAGGATTTATCCAGGAACAAAAAACCACACTACTTACTTCTCCGTGTCGATTTTTCTTTCGTTTTGTGAATGATGCTTTAAATGTAAACGTTTTTGTTGATCTTGTTGCGTGTTATAAGCAATTAATATTAATTTCACGAATCTCTGAAATGTGTTCGTTTGAACTCAAGGTACAGTCTATTACTTAAAAAGACTCGCAAAAACTTGACCGTCAGTCCTGTTCAGTGTGTTTTTCATTTGACCATCTTTCCATAAATGTACAAGCTCCAATTCATTATTCTGTTTTAGGAACAACCTCGTCCCGAGTACGAGGCAGTAGCGATGGAGACCCGTTTGAACCCCATCACGAAAGTGGAAGAGCCTTTCATATCGCTTGGGAGGAAAGTGCCCAGATTTATTTGTAGTTTCAGTTTCATCATCTTCATGGTAAGAACTGGATAATGTTTAATAAGGCTCAATGTGACTTTGGCCAGGTTTAAACCGAGATAATGCAGCAGTTTCACTAGAGCCTCGCAACGGCATCGATGTGCATTACTACCTTTCTGCTTTGTTTCCTTCCTTCCTTCCTTCCCTCCCTCCCTCGCCACCTCCCTCTTTTGGTTGAGTGTCCATTACGCGCACCAGTTTGTTGGTGTTGCGTTGACAGGTGCCTGGAGGTTGGCTGCGGCTTGATTGCTGGGAGATTGCTTCCCTCCTATGGTGTCAACTGTTCGCATCCACCCACCCACCCACCACCTTGATACTATTGGGCGTCGCTACTCGGACGAGGCGAAACGCTCATATTACTGCAACAATTTGACCTTTTCAAATCTAGATTTACCTGAATTCTGTAGCCCCGGCGTCTTTTGCAAGCTAGTTATAACCGACAGAAAAACTGGCTTTTGGTCACCGGTATGGCTCGTAGTGTTTTAAAAGAGGATAAGAGGTGCAACAGCGAAGTTCTGAATTTTGATCTATATTATTATGGTCTTTGTATCGCAGCTGGCGCTTGTCGTCATCGCCGTGTTTGCTGTTGTAGTATACCGTGTTGCAGTATACGCGGTGTTAGCCGCAACCAGTGACTACAACATGGGAGCTGTAAACATGGCCACGTCCGGCACTGCAGCTCTCCTAAATCTCATTACCATCATGCTCCTCAATAAGGTACCCGCATAAACTTATCTTATTCTATGGAGACGGTACACAACTAGTAAACATCTTGAGGTAAATTTTTGTTGTCTGCCCTATCATGTAGATGTTCGTTTGCGACTCTTACACAGCGATGGTTCCTACTTGAATGAGCAGATATTAGTTAACCCTTTAACTCCCAGAAGTGATGAACATGTAACCTCTCAATCAGATCTTGGGAGTTAGAGGGTTAACAGTAGAAGTTCAGCGGATGGTTTTATACCTTGGAGTAACAACTGATCATTTAGTGTGATCCTCAGGTGACTTCTTTTTGTTAATTATGTTATTTTATCTCCAGGTTTACGAAAAACTGGCTGAGATTTTGACACGATGGGGTACGTGTGTAGAAAATGAATTCAGTGAACTTCATTCATGCTTTAAGCTATTGACCACTTTACTGATATTGAATCATCAGTGCATCCGATCTTTCAACTGACCTTAACCGTACTACTGTACTCGTGCACGTTGTGGTCATTACACATTACATAAGAATTTTAAATTTAAAATTAGTAGCCGAATCCTTCCGTACCTCTAAACTGCATTGGCATGCGGCGTCGAAAGCTAACAAAGTAGGAGGCAATGAGGATAGGGTTAAATTCATCATCTGTTTTTATTTCAGAGATGCCTCGCACCCAGACGGAGCTTGAAGACATCTTTTCATTTAAGATGTACCTTTTCCAGTTTGTGAACTTCTATTCGTCACTCTTTTATATTGCGTTTTTTAAACTCAGGTGAGTTTATGTCATGAGTAATCTAATTGCAACAATGGGAAAAAAGTTACTTAGAGTTCTCCTAAGAAAGAAAACTCAAAATCGTAGACATTTTCGATTGTCTGGGATGACTGACGACAAATCGGTTAAATCGAGAGCGCTTTTTTTTTTACTGAGGCAACCCAGATTTTTGCGATGATCCGCGATTACTGAAGGTTAAAGAAAACTCCTATTTTGAACTGTCGTTAGTTTTAATTTGCTACCATTCCTTGGCTCCTGTAGCCCCGAGTCCCAAATGAAGTGGTGTCTGTTCTATTTTTCGCCAACCATCAGACAATCGGAATGTCTACGATTTCGAGTTTCATTAATTAGAAAACTCTGGAATCATCGAGAAATATTGAAATCACCGACTATCCGGGATTTTTCCCGCCAGCCTTAAGTGTCATTGTTTTTTCACGATTTAGGCTCTTCGAATGACATGCAGATCGTGATCTTCCCTCACCCATTTGTTGTTGCACGGTTCTGCTGTTGTCTTGTTTCTTTGTGATGCTGTGTTGTGAAACTGACGATCAAAAACAACAACAGGAGAGCCGTGTTACAGCGAATCTTCGAAACGCGCTAAGCTGTTGAGAAACAGCCCACCACATTGGAGCATAATGCTTCAGAAGGCCTCTTGTATACACTCGACCTCATCACGTAAAGAAAACTCGCACTAAGCCATTGAAACGTCGCGATTCACATCAAAAGTAAAAACATCTTCAGAAAAGTAGTTTTTCATAATTACCAGTAGGAACTTTTATCTATTTACATAGAAGCGTTAAACCCCCTTAAAAAATTGTTCGGCATCACAGCGGTAGAATGAACGTATTGAATCATATTTTGAGAATATTTTCAACTGACAATTATAAGTTATCTGTTTTCGTCCCTCTGGAAGAAAGAACTGCGCTGACAAAAAAAAATGTTTGTTTTCAGCCCTGGAAGGCCAGCAGAATTTAACAGGATATTTGGTTTTCGACAAGAAGAGGTAAGAAAAAGTATTCGTAAAGTTTTTTTTTTTGTGACAGTTTAGGGTATTTAAAGCTGCATTGGGTTAATCAGACGGTACTGTCGTCAAAAATTTGCGAGAAAAGGAAGGAAAGATCGTCTTTAGACATTGTTTGTAATTGAAGTAAATAATGTTTTTCGCCTTTGGTCCCATTAGTTGGACCAGTTTAAAAAGGATGCGTTTGATTAGAATTTATATCGTAAGGGTGTATGTGATGTTCGTTAAATTTGACAATGCAAGGTTTGCCGACTTGGAAATAGTTGCTTTAATAATTTGAATCTTATTTTTGACTTTTTTACCTCCTTTGGACAATATTAGTTCATTTCAATCAGAAAATAGAAAGTAAAATAAGGCATAAAAGTAACTGAAAATATCTTTCAAACATAGAGCAGTTGTAAAGGAGAATTCTGAGTTCATTTTCATGTTGTTCTGGCAGTGTAATCCGGCAGGTTGTTTATTTGAGCTCTTGGTCCAGCTGGCAGTTATCATGGTTGGAAAGCAGATCTTCAATAATTTTATTGAAATAATCGTCCCGTAAGTAGCCCGTAAAGAGATGAGGTACATTTTTAACGTTCCCGCTTTTTGAGACTTCATTGGACTTAAGGCAGGTTTTAGAAAATAACACATTTATGGACATTTACGTATTCTAATGTAATAACAGTTTACTGTTAACTAGGAGTATTTACGTTGTGCTCGATATACTTGGACAGTTTTGCAATACGACATACATAAAGGTGTAATAGCTTATTGGAGAAGCACATTTATAGCGTAAGTGAAACACAGGTATAGTAATCAGAAAACCGGAATCGCTGAAAAAAAAAATCAGGGAATGTATTTGTATAGGTAATCACATGATTTCGAGTGCAATTTAGAATAAATAAGCACGAGTAAATTTTTTCAAAGACTAACAAAATTGTACGAGCCCGTAGGGCGAGTTCAATTTGTGGTCTTTGAAAAACTTAACAAGTGCTTATTTATTCCAAATTGCACGAGAAAAATCATGGGATTACGTGTTAATAATAGACATGAAAAAATACGAGATGGCTTATCATAACTAAGCAGAAGCAAAGCGCGCGCATCAAGAGCAAAAATAATTTATTCAAACCGTGCGTTCGGTCAAAACAACAATGTACGATCAAAACAATAATATGCGATGATATCTTCACATCTTTAAGGCGCAAAAAAGTTCAAAGTCCGGCTAAACAGTTCAAGGAATTGTTCAGTCTGTGTCCGAATCACTTTCGATGAAATGGAATCGTCATTTTCGAGGTTTAACCATGTTTGTTTTTAATTTCGGCGTTGGATCGCTCAAGCAAAGTGTTTAGCAAGGTCGGCTTGTAATTTTTTATTTCCTTGGCAATTCCCTTCTCTAAAATCCACTTTTTCCAGACCGAAACCAAAAACAGTGCTTTTTACAGTGTTTTGGTTGTCTGAGCTGTTTTCAGCTGCGGTGGCGAAAGAAAACCTACTTAAAAAGCAGGCCATTGTTTCGCTCGCAAATTTTCAAATTTTCAAATTTTGTTGCGACATCGAAGGCTCTCATTTGACTGGCTATCTATGAGTTTCTTTGATTATTGACCAATCAGAATGTTTGATTTGTTACTTTCTTTGCACTGAATTAACCCTCTTCTGCACTGAATTAACTCTCTTCTGCACTGAATTACCTGAAAACTGCATTTATCTTGACCAATCAGAACTGAGAAATTTTTCCATGTATATTATTATTGTGGGAACATGCTCCAAACACATTTTACAGTGAAATAATACTTTTAATTGTTTAGTCCTGTAAAACAGTATTTCCACAGGCCAAGTCACTCATTCTGCGAACGTTTTGGATTAATAATATTTTGACTCAGATTTCAAATGAGTGGGATGATCATTTGGGTAAGCACTCCTATTTTTTCATCATCATCATCATCATCATCATCACCACCACCACCATCATCATCATCATCATCATCATCATTATTATTATTCATTATTATTATTATTATTGATATCGTCACCATTATTATTATTATTATTATTATTATTATTATTATTATTATTATTATCACTATGGTCTCTTTTATTCCTGAAAATAGAGGATATTACATGGCCGCGCGAAGATAATTAATTCTGTTCGAGTGTTGGGAAACATATCACGAGTGAGCGAAACGAACGAGAGAAATATTTTTCAACGCGTGAAGAGAAATTTCGTAGCTCCAAGCGGCCTTGTAATAGTTATAATCATAGTATCGGTATTGTTTCCACGTGTAAAGAGAAACATGTTATCTTCACGTATGAAGATATCATGTTTTCGCGCGAAAACTCACTTGGTATTTGACTGAGGTTTATATTATTATTATAATTATTTTCCACAGAAAGCTTCAGAACTGGTGGAGACGCCGTCAGAATATTGAAACCCCCGACTTGACCGAATACACACGTTGGGAACTGGACTATGACTTGACTCAGTATCCCGTGCACGGGTTGTTTTATGAATACCTTGAGATGGGTAAGAACTGCGCAGCTTGTACGGTTGAGCTAAGGAGATGGTTGAGATTTTACCGGTTATAAACTCTGTTTTGTTTTTTTTGTTTTTTTTTGTTTTTGTTTTTTCCAGTGATCCAGTATGGCTTTGTGACACTATTTGTGGCCGCCTTTCCACTTGGACCGTTCTTTGCCCTCATCAATAACTTGTTGGAAATTCGTCTTGATGCTTACAAGTTTATCGTGGTTTTTCAGCGCCCAATGGCAGCTCGTGCGCAGGATATAGGTATGCGTTATATGAAGAGAGGGCCGATTATTTTTTTGTTGGTCTTAAACATTTTTATTAATTGAAATTCTATTTAGGAACTACCGAATAGAACACTTGAAAAAAAAAACCTTTTGTTTTCACAGGAATTTGGTACGCAATCTTGAAAGGCGTTACGAAGATCTCTGTGGTCGTAAATGTAAGAATCTATTTAACAAAGTTGTGCGTTTTTGAATATTATTTCTTTAAGGATTGAAAAACGGAAAATAAACAGAGAAAAATTACTTGGGCGACAGATTCAGTTACAAACACAGTTGTTTTTTTTCCCCAATTTTATCGAATAAAGAAAAAATTAATGAGACAGTTTTTCCCATGTTCGAGCAAAAAAGGTTGGTCCTGACTTAAATCAAATAACAATAATATAGTCAAATTTGGTCACCTGGTGGTAGTTATTGACCTGTAAGAGCTAAAAATGAAGGATTTCCTAATAGGATGAGATATTTCATTGCTTTGGTAACTTGCAAATTCAAGCGGACAGACAATGATTTAGCATGTTCTACAAGGACCGCTCATTTTGCTTGAAAACAGTTTGTATTCAAAAGAACTTGAGCAATAGTATTGCCTCATTAATAGTACGTGCTGCATGCTGCGGTTCGAGTCACTTTAGTTGAAGGAAGCATACTTGAATAATTTGAATCAGCGATTTAAAGAGCAGAATACAGCAGAGAGTTATCTCTTTGTTCTACCTGTTGTCAAAGGTGAAAAACATGTCGTACTCGGCGTTTTGATTTAAAACCAAAGAGAACTTATTGTAAGGAAAGCCACAATGTATAATCACGGTAACTTGTTTTTTTCTTACCCTTTTTGTTAGGGCTTTGTGATTGCTTTTGTTTCCGAATTCGTCCCTAGACTGTATTACACCCTAGGTGAACACAACGACAGCTTGGAAGGATTTGTGAACCACACCTTGTCGTGTTTTGCGGTGGATGATTTTCCTGAGTCTGAGAGACCTTCTGGAGCTGCTGCTGTTGAGTTCCCCCTAAGAATTAACAGTTGTGGGTTTAATTTATCTACCTGCAGGTAAAATAACAAGGAGGGTTCTGTTTTATGGTTTAGTTCTTGCAGAAAAAAGAATCGCCTTTACTGATTAGTGTACTGATTCATTAATTTGTCAAAGCTTGCTGGACGCTTGGTGACACTATTGTAAGAATCATAAGTCATCCATTATAACTCAAGTTTTAAAGGTCTTGTGTGCTTGCATTTTAGATTCCGAGGGTATTATGAACGACCAAAAATTACAATACTAAACACGACCCTTCCAAATCCGAATGCTTACAAGTTCTCGACAGCCTATTGGCATATTTTGGCGGCCAAGCTGTTTTTTGTGGTTGCCTTTCTGGTGAGTTTGTGTCCACTTTTAATTGTGGGACGCTCGTTATGATGCACCTGATGGGATACTGAGAATCGGAGTATTTTCCTACAAATAGAATTGTTGGTGGAGATTACTGCAGTAATGTTGTAAAAAGAAGATTCCACCCTATCTGTGTTCCTCTCTGTTTCCTAGTTGATCTTTGTAGCAGTTCTGTGAAACATTTAAAATTGACCAACCAAAAAAAAAAAAAACGTTCAGTTGAAGAAACCTACCTACCATCTAATATTTCTTCTTGTGTTTGGCTGATAGTCTTATTAATTTGTTATTTTGTGCAGCACATCGTGTTCGGTATGACGGCAATCTTGGCTTGGATTATCCCCGATGTTCCGAAGGAAGTTGACAATCAAGTCAAGAGAGAGAACTTTCTTGCCCGCGAAGCCTTACGGTCAGCAGATCAACAAGATTCTGTCTCTCCAGTCCCTAGGGAAAATTCGCGTGGCCAGGATGAAATGTTGTGAAATGTTGTAGAATGTCGTGTTTTGACAGAAATTATCTCGTAGTCAACGACCTGTAACTGATATCGGTATAGGTAGTTAAATTTGATAATACCACCGTCGCATATTTTGAATAATTTCTTGTTGGAAACGTAAGGCAAAATTCGAAAATCTTCACAAAAGCCAGTGCTTGTCACCAGCTGCGTGTCATAGCTCGCTGACCCATACGATTGATAGTCTTCATTTATAAACTCAGTTTAATCTTTCGAATAGCGAAAGGTCAGTACATGTCTGTTTTATATAGAATAAACGGTGTACGTTTTACGTCGGTGGGAGAGTATAGCAGGTAATTTAGTGTTAACAACTGAGTTGAAAACGTAAATTGGCCACCGTAAAGAGTGAAAAAGCTGACATTGCGAGCGTTAGTCCTTCGTCAGAGCGATGGCGAAGGGCTAACGCTCGAAACGTTCTGACGATCTGACTGAAGGGCTAACGCTCGCAATGTCAGCTTTTTTACTCTTTACGGTGGCCAATTTACGTTTTCAACCCAGTTGTTAACACTAAATTACCTGTTTTACATAGATCAGCTTTCTACTTAAATAGTGTAAAACTTTATAGTAAGACTAACACCGTACAAGATTAATAATTTGTATTCATAGTTGGTTTGTGTGGTGACTTTATATGCGAGTAAAGTAACGTGAAATTGCCGTAGGGAACGAACTACTTTTCTTTTGATTCTCAGGTTCGTTTCTTTAGCCTCAACTGAAAGACCTCGAGAATTTAGGACACTTGCTAATACAAAGCTTTTCTATTCCTTCATTACTTATCACACCTTATGTTTACCGGCATTGAGTGGCTTTAAGAGAATATCAGGTCTTTTGGTTGCTTGGGATACAATATTTATTTTTCCAATGAAGCCATCCAAATACGTTGATGCCGTGCTAAGGTAAAGGAGTAAGGATAGATCCATCCCGGACTTGTTTGTAACAGTAATCAAAATCAAAATAAACTGTTAGGCAATACAGACTTTGTAACAGTAGTCAAAATAAACTGCTATGCAATACAACAGTAATCAAAATAAACTTTGTAACAGTAATCAAAAAAATAAACTGCTATGCAATACAGACGCCTGCGTAGCTCATGATTTTGTCACCCGTTTTCCTACGGCGATTTACATTTTCTGTTTGTTTGAGTCACAACATAAAACGCCAACGGGCCAGACGTTAGCGTTATTGATATGCGAAATCTAGTGAGGGATCATATCAATTCGTTTCCACCTTAGTTTTAAAACTAAGGTTTTAAAACTAAGTTCCTTGGATTCGTCGATGCCTGAACTAGGAGAAAATGAAAATTAAAGGGTGTATGTACTCCTGTAGAGCGGCTAGTAATGGCGGGATTAATCAACTAAAAAACCTTAAAGACAGAGCTGAGTGGGTAAGGAGGGAGTTTCTCTCATAGAACTCCGTGGGTTGTCTCGGGGTATCTTAAGGTGGGCACGAGACTTGCAGGGGTCAATGGAAATAGCAAAGCAGCTTTGCACTTTCGTCTCATCAATGTACTTCTGATTTAGTAGGATACGCTGGTTAATTCTCAGTTTTATTTTTTTAATCCATACAGACTCGATGTAGATTGGAGAAGAGCAAAGTACTGTTATTATCACGCCTGAGCTTAACAATCATTCCATGTGCCAATTCTAGGTTGCCAGTTACTTTTACTTAATTTTTTTTTGTTTGTTTGATTGATTTTTGTTGTTGGTTTTTTATGCGTTTTACAGTTTTAAGTCTGATAATCCGTCCCGCTCTCAAGGTATTACCGAAACTTTCTTCACTTTTTCCATGAAAGGGAAGTCGCATTCGGTCGAATATAAATCTTAGGCCACCCCTTATGTTCCGACAGACGGTCCACAAATAAACTCCTTACTTCTGCTTCTACCTCATTGCAAATCAGATGGTAGAGTGTTGTCTTTATCACTTTTCGCAAAGTAACAAGTCATCTCTAGAAGGCAAAGTAACTTAAACTCTCTAGACAGTTTTATTGATAATCATGTGGTTTAAAAGCGTTGCTTACTTAATCACGATTACAATCTCATTGTTCATACATCTTTAAGCCTCTCTGTTGTTTGTTTGTCACAAACGTTTTTACCTTGTTTCAGGAATGTATGTTACTTTTCCAGAGACGGCTTCTAATCGGTGCTACAAAATTGTTCTAAAACCTGATCTTTTTTTCATTGTAAGCAAAAGCAATAAATGAAATTTTATTTGACGAGAGAGAAGGTTAAAATAGACCAGTATAATGAAACTCGGAAACATGCAAGAAAAAGGACCTCAACCGTCTCCTACCAACATATTGTGTATACATGTTGCAAATGCTAAATGCTATCGTAACTTCTGAGTAAAACAAGAGATAAATACGTGTCTAGGTATCTTTGTATTCAGCGAGTGACTTTTTTTTTTCCAATTTTACCGAACTAGTTCACCGTAGTCTTTACGATCCTGTGGAGTAACTGAACTTTTTTTCTGTTTAGTTTTGCTGTCTTTTCTCGCTATCTGCTTATTCCAGCTCGAAACTACAAATCTAAGTGCGACATAGAACATTTATAATTATATTTTAGTTAAGTCACTGCCTGTGTCATATCAAGTAGTTTTACTATTCTGGTTTAGCTGGGACATTCTTGCTCTCATCATCCTCACCCATTGTGTCTCGGTATTCTTTAGCTTCCTCAAATGTTTCTTTACAGAGAGCAGATGGTTCATCTGGAGCGATCTTACGTTCCTCTTCTTCTTCTTCCTTTTCTTCTTCTTCTTCTTCTTCTTTTTCTTCTTCTTTCTCTTTTTCTTCTCTCTTGTTATCTTTGTGTCCAATAGCTTCTTCGCTGGTTTCCTTCAAAGGAGTTGATGGTCGGTCCGAGGTAGTTCGATCATCTCTGTCACTACTTTTGGTTTCAAATTCAACGGCCTCTTTTTCTTCTTCACCCTCAAAGGAAGTTGATGGTTGTTCTGTGGAAGCTGCCTGTTGTCCTTCCTTGTCCTGTTCAGAATCCTGCTTTTGTTCTGATTTGAAACAGAAGGAAACAAAACCTTGATATTTGTTAATCGGTAAGTTGATTGATAAGTCAATCGGTAAGACAATTGGTTAATTTGGTATTGAAAACGTAATTTGGAGTTGAAAAAATATAAGTAGTTGAACTAAAAAACTACAAAGGTGGCTTTGGCGTAAATTAAAAAGACAAAAATTAAGAAGTGGTGATGACTTATGAACCACTTTAAAACTGATTTGGTACAATGAAAACTTTACCTTGTCCATAAGTTATAGTTTGGACTGCATTATCTCGTGGTCCATTGTATGGATGAACTGAAATGGAAAAAAAACAGATTAAGATTAATTTTCTCGTTAGCAATCAATGTATTAGCTCCGAATGAAAATATTGATGACATTAAGATTTCCTTTCCATGACAGAGATGAACAAAGTGAGCATCCAAGCACCTCTTTCTTTGGAAAAATGATGACCCCTCAGATCTTTTCTTGATAGAAGTCTCAGCGCAATGCTTTCGGGGTCCTCTCAGGTTCGTTTCGTTTAACTCTCTGTAGGTTTTCCCACAAATACTTACTATTTTCTGAAAGAGCATTCAAGGCTATGTCCTTTGATACAGACTCTCAGAGAACGACTCACCTTCCACAACAACCATTTGCAAATTTCCTCCGTTGCCCTCGTCTTCGTCTTTTTCTGCTTGAACAACAAAATGGTATCAAATTATCCAACAGAAATATTCTTAAATGTTCACAGTACATTATCCCTTATCCAACGCTAGTTGAAAAAACTTATATTCACGATCGAGTGTGACATGTGTTACAATAAGCAGTCTAACAAAAATAAAATTTCTTTAAAAAAGCACCTTCTCCGCCAATCAACAAATGTACTTCTTCTTCTTGAGCTGCAAATATCGAACACAACAAATAAGTGACATCTACTTCAGGATAACAGTTAAACTTTGTGTGTTTATTTCATAGTTTTTCCAACACATTTAAGTTAGGCTAAAGTAAAGTCAAATTCATTCTCTACCCTATTGGCCCACGAGGCGGCGAAGTTGTTCCGGGTTTCCTTTGCATGCAACAATCATTCTGATTCATCGCAGGTCACCCGCCTTTCCCGCCTTCTTACAATATTCGTCGAGTTTTGTTAATTAAAAAAGCTAAAAAAAATTGTGAATTACGACAAAAAAAGTAAACTGATCAACATACAAAACCTTTTTGGGAACTCCACGTTAAAAGATCAAATGAGGCATATCCATCTTTTTAATCTAAGGACTTCATTGCGATAATAAAGACAATGTTGGGTCTTGTTTGTTGTAATACCTGCTTCAGCCGGCAGCACATGTTCTTCCTCGTTAACTTGGCCTGCACCTAACAGAAAATGAATCAGTTGTTTCCATTTCTTTATTGCTTTTGCAACTCATTAATGGGAGTTCTTCTTCAAGTTCTTCCAATATCGTTAAGGAAAAAACAGATAAAGGTGTTACCACCTAGTTTGAGTTGGTTACCAGTGGTTTCGTACCGGCTCACGGTCGTTTCATACCCGGTCGATTCGTATCCAGTCAGTTGAGTTGTTTAGTACCCAGCTCGGTCGTTTCGTACCAATACTAATAAAGTATACTGTTAATGTCAAGTATGTTTAAAGTGAGGTCTCTTATTTTAAATAGCGATACAACCTGTGCAAAACAAGTTTTGTTAATGTGGCATCCATTCTTACTACACGACCACCAAAGGTATATTGAATAAATCAATAAAGCTATAAAGAAAATTAAAGAATAAAAAGTTTTCATTTTGGCCCTTCATCCATTATTTTGACATAGATCAGCTTCCTAACTAATTTATCTTGTATTCATATATTAATTTTTTCTGGTTTGTCGGGATAAATGCCAAAGATCAATTTAACAGAAGTTACCTTGCTCCGGATCTACTTGTCCAAGTTGCACCATTTCCACCATTTCTAGCATTCCATTGTCTCCTTGTTCCTGATCTACACCAATCAACATACATGTATAATAAATATTCATATTCATACATGTATACATGTAAATATATATATATATATATATGCTCATATGATCTAAGATCTTGTGAATACTCTTAAGTGACCTTAGATAAGTTCTTATTATATTTAGTGAGCTTTTCCATAGATGTGATGATATGATTAAGTTTCTAACTCCATTAATTGCACTGAGCTATATTATTTTCAGGCAAACTAAAATGAGTTTTTATTTCCTATCACAAAAATAAGATACCTTCCCACCTATAGAGTGACTAAAGAAAACGGTAAACCTTACCTTGATGATCTTGCTGCTTTTTACAGCAAGAGAAAAAGCTGCGCACATGGTTCATCAAAATTCGCAGTTTTGGTCGCAATATGCCCTGCACCTGTTTGGGTAATGCAAAGCGAATATTTCATTAAATCTGTAAAAATTAAGAGAGAATATGATAGAGAGTTTACAAACGTAACTTTCATAAACAATGTTAAAGCTGATCATACGACTTAAACACAAGGAAAGCCGATGCTAGAATCAGCCAGTTAAGTTGCATGGCCATTGAGCCGATGCTAGAATCAGCCAGTTAAGTTGCATAGCCATTTGTCCAGTTCTGATATTTTCCAAATGCCTCAAAAAGAACTATGAGAAATTGCTTAAGTAGCTTTCAGAAATTTCATGTGCAATTTTTTTTTAATGATAGTTTTCAAGGAGCGGGAAATTTTTGGGTGAAACGAATCATTTTGAAATTAAATGTGACAGCCGTGTTCATTTGCAATTGAAACATTTGATAAGCTACCTACTTCTTTTTTTTTATGAACGAATCCACTCATTGGATGATAATTCTACGATAAGGTTTTTCCTAGGAAGCCTACGACGTATATCTTTCATTATCTACTTTTAAGCATTCTGCGAGGATACGTAATTAACGCATAAACACGATGGAGGAATCCGTCGCGATCAATTGCATTGTACTAATGTACGTCCCTGTCTTACCTGAGGGGTTGATAAGGTGTAGATGATCGGATTCAAGGCTGAGTTAATTGGCAGCACAAACACGGCGATCCAGGCAGGAAGATCGCCTCGGGGGACTGTAATCTTTTTCAGCCAAAGACCTGATGCCCATGACTATTATCGGCATCCAACAGGCGCAATCTGTGAGAATGATAAAGAAGACTCTTTTGGCCAATGCTCTCTCCCTTCTGGCACTTGCATTCTTCTTTCTTGCCTGCACCTCTCGTCTGGTTCCCTTCTTTGCGAGCTGACGGCTGGAGAGATAACTTTTAAGAAAGATTGCGACATAAGCTACCGTCATGAACAGGAAGAGGAGGAAGTTTAACCCAACGAAGATGGCAATGGAGAACTCCCAACCAGCTGGAAACCTGTTGGAAAGTTGCAGTGGGAGGCACACAACGGATCGTCCGTAGTACGCAGGGCGCTCTAGGGCGTCATAAAAGTAGCTAATGCCACTGAGGGGAAGGAATGCGATGACAAAACCAAGGACCCAAATAATCACGCACAGAATGTGTGCCTTCCTGGGAGTCAGCCCTCTGCCATGGTATGGGAAAACGATGTTCTTCAGCCTGTCAGCAGAGATGAGGGCAAGTATCATTACAGAGACCTCACTGGACAGCACTGAGATCGCACCTGTGACCTGACACGACAAACCGGACCGCCACTGGAAGTCATGCAGATAGTAACTTCCCGACCATAACAGGTCTTTGGCACCTAAGGTGACCAAGTAAACGCCCATCAAGCAATCCCCAACCGCTAAGTGCATTAACATGATAAGCTGGACTATGTTTCTCTCTTTAAAGATCAGACGCCATACAATTACGAACACAGCACCAAGCAGAGAAAGGATTCCGATTGCCCAGATACTTTTACGTGGGGCTGAGTCGCGAAACATGCTCTCGCAACTGGCGAAGCTGTCGTCGTATAAAGAGGTACATTGGGCGTCTTCTTTCGTCAGATGACAACACATAAGACTGGTGTCCACTATCCTGTAATCCACAATGTAGAAGGCAAGTACAGTAAAAATGCAAAAGATATGTTGTCATTCACACAGGGATGTATAATCAAAATGCGGGGTATAGCTTATTTTGCAGGTCACTATTGGCTCAATCTACGAATAGTGAATATAACGGTCTTTGAGGCACCAAACTTTCTGCTGATTTTGAAGCTAGGTGAGGTAGGCTGTGATTATATGGGGCCTCAAAAAGGAAAAAGGAAACCTTATACTTGCAAAAGATTGTAACTTCAACAAGAATCTCTGTATAACTACAAGTTGTCAGTAGGTTCAACCGACCTAAACCAGCTAAATATTTGCGGAGCGTGTGGATGTTGAATACGAAATCTTACGATTCCCCCGGCCCCCCCCCCACCCTTTCAAAAAATCTCAAATAATGCGGGATGGAGGGCCTGAACTCAGGATTTTTGAATGACAAGTCCAACGCTAATGAAACATAATATAATATGATATTGTACGTTTCACTGACCACGGAGAAAAAACTTACACTTTCATGATGTCCTTCATTCCATCGAAAAACCCGTTAGGAAGCTCAGACATTTGGTTTTTTTTATTTCCTAAAAATAACATCTACCATCGCTAAATAGGTATGGATAAAAAATTGAAACTGCACCGTGATGTCAAAATGCGTGCCCCTTGTTGCGTGTTTAAATTATGTTTAAACGCCGTGAAGATTCATCCTTTTAATAGCCCAGCGTCCCTGGATTTCAGTCTAATTGCTAACCAAGGTCAATCTCGAAACAAACCATAAGGTTTGCGTAAACTGGCAATCCCGGTTTCTTTAAAGGGGCCCCTCGCTCTGTGCTCGCAATAAATACCGGTAATCTTTTCTTAAAAATAAGCTGTACTATTGTACCAGCGACATATTAACTGCAATAGGATAATATTCCCTGGAATTCAAGCAGTTTAGTCGTTAACTCTTTCATTCCCAAGATCACATTAATCATTCTGCCTTCCATTCAGTCCTTATATTGTCAGTTTGGAGAACTTGGTGTTGGTTCAAAAAATAATCCCCTTACTGATGTTTTCCCTATTGTATTAATATTGTAGGGAGAAATGCTTTCTTGGTCACTCGTTGCAGTTAAAGGGTTAAAATGTCTTTTCAGGATCTTCTTGTAGGGAATCGACAGCAACAACAACTGAAAACAGAGTAATTACGGTTTCTCTGTATTTTTGCAAAAAATATAAGGCTAACGCTAGAACACCATGTTCTTATTTCATGATTTTCAATTTAGAAATGTTTTTCTTTACAGGACGTCATTGCTATAAACCAATTTTCATTTTTTAGTAAGCCCAGTAAGATCCAGTGGGTTCTAAGATATGATGTGGTGGTCTAATGATAAATTTAATCAGTGGCTATATACTCACAAAATAACCAATTTTGGAAGGTCATTAAAGTTTTCGTTGGTGACACTGGGAATCTTGTTATCAGAAATAGTGCTGCGGAGAAAAAAAAAGTCTGCGTTAGGAAGTAAAAAAATCACAACTTTAATATCCACCGTAATACGACGCTAGGACAATTGCTCACAGGAAAGTCTTGTGTGGCGTCATGTGTCGTGGATCATTTGTTATAGTGTGAATTAGTAAAGAGTGGTTTTGCGTGGTATGACGAGAATTTTGAGGTGTGGTGTGGCGCGGTATGACATGGTAAAGTGTGACGTGATGTGCTATGGTGTTCTTTTGATGATACAGTGTGCTCTGGTGTTGTATGACATGGAAAAGTGTGATATGATGTGCTGCGGTGTTCGTTTTCATGATATGGTGTGCTGTGGTCTGGTATGACATGATAATGTGTGATATGACGTGTTGCGGTGTTCCTTCTCATGATATGGTGTGCCGTGGTGTGGTATGACATGGCAAAGTGGGATGTGATGTGTTGCGGTGTTCCTTCTCATGATATGGTGTGCTGTGGTATGGTATGACATATTAAAGTGTGATGTGATGTGTTGCGGTGTTCCTTCTCATGATATGGTGTGCTGTGGTGTGGTATGACCTATTAAAGTGTGATGTGATGTGTTGCGGTGTTCCCTCTCATGATATGGTGTGCTGTGGTGCGGTATGACATGGCAAAGTGTGATGTGATGTAATGTGTTATGGTGTTCTTTTTTTTTGATGACGTGTGGTGCGGTATGTCCTTCGTTGAGGGTTTCAGAAATTATACAGTTTGAGAAGTTTTGAGGGTTTCAAAATGATATGATGTGCTGTGATTCAATGGGGAAAAGTGTGGCCGTGAGATGGTTTATGTGATCCTCAGTAATCTACATGTGGTGTGGTCGGTAATGTCATAGTATGATATGGCATCGGGTGATATGGAGTGCTTCTTAAGCGTACAAAAAAAAAAAAAATCCATCGGGTGATTTTTGCAAATGTTTTACTTACAGAACCTGAAGTTTTCTCGTGCCGCTGAAAATCCCTTTGGGCAAATTGTCGATGTTATTTTCGGACAGATACCTTAAATGTGAATTATGTTTTAGATAAATGCCCAAATTTTTTTTTTATTGGACTGGCTAGGCAAACGAGTAAATGTTTGTCTGTTAGAGGCATGACTTTGCACCACGGGTACGAGATGTAAACACGTGCATCAACAGGGAAACTAAATGGTAGCTACAAAGTAATAGTTACAGAGCATGAACAGACACAAAACTTGCGGATTACAACAGTAATTCAAAGTAAACCCTGGTATATCGAGCTACTGAGGCAAACAAGATATCGTGGATCTAGAGTCAGCTGATAGTGTGATAGTAGTATCACAGACAACTCCCCGTCGTCTCGATCAGTTTTTCACCCGCGTTATCCCTTAGACTGTTTTCAATGCAACATATTCCAACGATATTATTTGGTACAAATGGGAGCAATTCAGTTTTGCCAGGCCCTTGATGGAGTTGTCTTTATTTTTTTTATAACAAAGAATCCGTCAAATTTCCCACGCATTACTTACTATTTTCAAAACAAATTGTAGTTTTAGAAGCAAGCAAAAGTGCCGTCAGCATGTTCTATATTCTCATGAATCAAGTTAGAATAAGCCAAATCAATAAAGTTTCAGAATCCTTGTTAGAATGGTTCAAATGATCTGATTGGTTGAATAAGACCAAAGCTGTCAAAAATGAATGTCAAACAATCAAAGTTTACAACCATCAAAGTGCACAATCTGTATTAGTTCACAAACTGAAATAGTACGTTCGGCAGGTCGAATTTAATACTGTTGCCAGAAGTTTTTCAGTCTTATAACAGAATCTTAAAGTGAAATGTGCATTTAAATCCGATCTAATTATGGCTCATAAAGACACGCAAATTTTTTTTCACATGGCAACTAGAAAACAAACTGCTGAAGTCGTATGTTTACTGAATGAACGACAGCCGAATTTACAGTGAGCCGCGATTGACCTCATCATGATCGCAGTCGCTCTGACACCGTCATGATTTACATGAATTTTAACAGTTATGCCAGTTTGGTTATGTTTTTCATGATTCCTGCTTGGTTCTATTTTGTTTTAGAACACGAAACTATATATGCTATACGAGTGTTATCTATGTTTGATTTTTATTGCCGTAAGAAAGCTCACAATCTCACTGGGAGTGAAAACCTTCGAAACTCGGACTGCCCATTTCATTTTCTCTTTGAGGATTTTCGTCTCAGCTCACGTTTTTAATAACATCAATCACGGCGCATGGCATGTTTGCAAAAAATAGTAAACATTGGCAGATAGCGTGACAGCTTTAGCTCAGCTCCGTGTTTTGTACTCTGTTAGAACACGTTCTTTCAATCAAAGACAGCGCGCGATAGCGAGATTAAAAATGGATTCACTTTCATATAGAAACTGAATCCAAGGAATAGTTTTACTATGCATATTTTTAAATTAGAGGACTTATTTAGGTTCGATAATGCTTTCGCGGATTACAATATGTCATTATAAAAGTAAGTGATATCTTTGAACCCAATCACAAAACTTACAGCCCGTTTAAGTTGACCAGAGTACGAAGCAAATCCTGGGAAGGCTCTTAAACTTGTTCTTGTCCAGTTTTCTGTGGCATATAATAAGTCAATGAAAATGCGACGAAGAAAGCTTTGGAGCACTGTGAAACATAGTATATCTCTTCAAAAATACATTTTGTGACGTCGGCGAAAACACTATTCATGGGACATTGGGTGTAGTGCTTGATGACTTACATATTTAACAGCTTGGAGAGGTTGGCAAAAATATTTCCGGGTAGTTCCTCGAGTTGATTACCTGACAAAATCCTATGGAAAACAGGGATAGCGTAAAAGAAACTAGATACCAAGTTGAAAGTTAAGTCTAGTTTCGCTATCAACCGTTTCAGGAGGATCGAGGACTAACCTGTTGCTTATTGATTACATAGCTACTTCCGATACTTGCTTCTTCCAATCAAATACGATTGCTCAAATCTGCTCTAACACTTTGCCTGAGGTAATTCCTCAGTTTTGCACCGCGCATCCTGTATTGCGCATAAAAATCACGTAATCGGAGGAATGAGCGCCCACACGGTATTGTTTTTCAATCTATGGATCAGGAAAAGAGGTACGATGGTCTTTAGCTCTTGAACGAGCACGGTGACCTATATATATATATTTTTTTTTTTCCGCATATTTTTGGTGCAAAATTTTTCCACTTTAAATTGGGGAAATTAAAAAAAAAAATTATTCCTTAAGAAAAAAAAAAAAAGGTAAGGCTAAAAGCGTGCACGAAGCCCATTACTCGAGGATGCAAATTATAACCTTGAAAGGAACGACTCGAGGAACATGTTTAAATTTGCGTAATTTTCCCGAAATTACATATCAATTGTGCCATGCGCTGGACACTTTCTACCAATCAAGATTTTTTTACATGTGTTACTTTAAAAACCCAGTGCAGAAAAACGTACCGTTAACCGATGAAATGACGCGCGTGATTAGTACCAGTACAGGCATAAGTGGGGTAAGTTTGGCTTATCATCCA